GGTCAGCCCTCGTGAACTCCGGTTGGCTGTCAGCGGGGCAAGGAGCACTAGCCTACCGATCCACCCGACCCCTGCAAAAACATCGCGGCACAGCAACGGTCCCAGCGTTCCCCTCAAGTGTCTAGCGAATGAAGACCCCTGCGACGAGACAGTATCTTGTCTGACGGCGCGCGGCCGGGAAACCTTGGCGAGTTGGGGTGGGAGTCTTGGTTCACGTAAGCTAGTCGGCAAACAAGTTGGCCGTAGTCCGCGCGCGCAGCGCGCTCCGTTTGCAGACCGCCCTGGCGGACTCGTTTACACTTCCAAGCTCAAGCCAGGCGCCGCAGGCCATGAAGAGGAGCGCAGATTAAAATGGCGCCGCAGAGCTCCCCGGGCCGTCCGCGCACAGACCACAGGGGAAAACAAAAATCTATAAAAATCTATCAACACCACTAGGGGGTGGGTGGGCTCCGATCTCCTCATCTCCAATACTCTCTAATCCACAGCGTCGTCATCTTAGGCCGGGGATCCAGTCAGATCTCCGATCTCCATCTTCAATCTCCAATCTCCAACGTCGTCATCTTAGGCCGGATCAGATCTCCGATCTCCATCTCCAATCTCCAATCTCCAACGTCGTCATCTTAGGCCGGATTCGGTCAGATCTCCGATCTCCATCTCCAATCTCCAATCTCCAATCTCGATTCGGGGGCCCGGTGGAGGAGGGGGGCTCAAACCTTCAAGGAGATGCAATTGGATTCATCCACACTGACCATCTCTCATCTCCAATCTCCAATCTTCTACTTGGCCACTGTCGCCGCCGGCAGCAATCTACGACCTCCATTTTCAATCTTCGATCTCACATCTGGGGCGGATGGCTGGGCGCTAGGATCTACAATCTGCACTCTCCATCTCCTATCTCCACATTTTGCTTTTTGGCCCGTGTTGCTGCTCAGCGATCTGCAATCCACAATCTCAATCTTCGATCTTTAGTCTTGAATGGGGAACCGGACAGGAGGGATCTACTGGCGAGACTTGGGCGTGTCCGTGTGAGAGATCCGCTAGGATCTCCAGTCTTAATCTACTATCTCTACCCCAACGATCTCCTGTTCTTGCGCAGAGATGTCCATTACTCATATTCCCGCCAGGTGGAGCAGGAGGTGCGCCCGTCCGCCACACACCCAGGTCGGCCCGGGGGCGGCCGACGGGGTGGGGGGTGTGCACCCACAGAGTGCACCGCGAATGCGCGCGCTCTCCGCTCACGCAAACGCGTGCGTCCCTTTTTGCGCGGCGAGTGAGGCACCGTGCTCGTCGTACTCGGCGCGCGACATCCAGAACTCAGTGTGCGAGGCCTACGCGTGAAGAGCGGCGAGCGCAAAGTGAGGGCGCCGTCACAGGCAGTGTGGATGAGACGGGCAGGAGCGGAACGGGCCATGGATGCCAGGATCGAGCCGCCGAGCCACGCGCCGTTGCGACGCTCCGGCAGCGGAGCGGTGTGGATGGTGATGCGATTCGCCTGTTAGCCGCGTGCGACATGTCATGCGGCCGTCGCGGGCGGGGGCGAGGGGGCTTGCACGTGGCCTGGTTGGCGATCGAAGGCATCCCCTTCGCGTGAGACGCCTAGTATCGGGCTCACGCCTAGTATCGGGCAATCTCGGCCTAATCTCGGGCACTCTGGGCCAGCCTTCGCGTGAGACGCCCCTTTCAAGGGACAAAAGAAACACACGCGCCGTGGGCCGGGCAAGGCCTGGCGAGCTGCTTGGGTGGGCTCGAGATCTCGCCGGAGATCTGGCCGAGATTGCAAGCTCGCAGGCCGTGTGCGTGCAGGCGCCTTGAGGCGCAGTGCCGGAGACACGGGGGAGATTTGGGGGGGGAGAGGGGGGGGAGAGAGGGGGGGGAGGGGGGGAAGAGATGCCTTGAGGCGCAGTGCCGCCTCGAGTCGCTCCGGGAGGCCCGCCAGGCAGGAGGCGCCGCCCGTCAGGACCACATTCCTAAGGAGCTCCTTGTGCTGCTCCGGCTCCAGCGCCTGCGCCAGAGGACACGGGCCGGGAGCGGACGACAAGGCGACTCGGCGACGCGGCGTGGCGCGCCGGGCTCGACGTGCAGCCGAGAGTCGCCGAGATGAAGCCGAGCCGCTACCGAGATGTGGCCGCGCCGCACTGCGCCGGTCTCCAGATGCACCCGGGATTCGCCGAGAGGTGGCCGAGATTCGCCGAGATGCGGCGGCACGGGCGCGCGCCGCGACGGCGTTCAGCACAAGCGAGTCGAGCGGCGTCGCGACGCCCTGCCTGTCATCGAAGTAGATCTCCGCCGCCTGGCAAGCACTACCCCACCTCAGGTTGTGCTTTGCCCGCTCCCATCGCTAGACCCAACATCTCCCCACACCTCCCCACATCTCCCATTATCTCCCCGCACCTCCCCGCACCTCCCCGCACCTCCCCGCACCTCCCCCCCTCTCCCCCCACATTTCCCCCCGCCTGGCTGCGCTCCGCGCCGGCGGTGATGACGTTCCCGTCGGGCAAAGTGTACTCGGCAGCGCCTATAGTGCAAGCTCCCCCCCCCCCTGCGGTCGACGGCCGCGCAACAAGCCCTCTAGAGGTGCGCGCTCGCCGGCGGCGGCGCCTCTGCTCCCCGCCGACTCCCCGCCGGTTGGAGCCTTTCGTCGCAGGAGCACCGAGGGGAAGACAGAGCAACCCAAAAGTAAAGTGATATTGCACAAGGTGTTAAAGGGGCTGTGAGGCCGCGTAAGGCCTGTTGGGACTGTCTCTCACACTCTCTCGGCTCATCTCGGCGTAATCGCGCCTGCTCGCTCACGCGGCCGAGCACCTCAAAGGCCTCGTGCGCGAGGCAGAACCGCCTGTTCCACAGCCGAGGGGCGTGGGAAACGACGCCCCCGCCTCGCCAGGGGCAGGGGCAGGGGGGGGGGGGGGGGGAGGGGGGGGGGAGGGGCCCCCAAACTTGACGAGACTCTTTGAGGAGGGCCCAGCCTCGCCGCCGCCGCCGCCGCCGCCGCCGCCGCCGCCGGCGGCGGTGGGCAGCGGCGCACGTGAGATGGCGGGCGACGAGGCGCCACCGCGAGGGTTGCGTCGCTTCAGCGCAACGCAGGCGGGCTCGAGCCCGTGGCCCATCCCCTGGAGCTGATTTCTGAAAAAGTCTGACACAACCGTGAGGCTGCCGACCTTGCTCTGCTGAGCGTGCGGCGACATGCAGCCTTCAATCACAGCGGCGGCGGTGCTGGTGCCGCCAATGTCGAGCACGAGCGCCGTGGTCCGTCCGGAGGCGATGGCGACAAGCTCGACCGTCTTGCACACGCACAGCGCCGGCACGCCCAGCGTCTCAAACAGCTGCGTCACAAGCCGGCGACGGGCGGCGGCCGACGCGCCCGGCGGCTCGGTCAGAAGGAGGGCGTGCTCGGCTGGGTCCGCTCCCAGTCGGTCAAAGCAGTGCTGGACCAGTCGGAGATTTAGCGCGTCGAGCTCGTCGTGCCGCGCACTGTGAAGTGCACGCACCAGCAGTGAGGGCTGCGCCCACCCAAGCGCGTCCATCTCCACGACGGACCGCTCGGTGCCGTCGTCGCCCGCGAAAAAGCCGACTGCGGAGGGGCAGGCGACGCGCGGTGCGTCCTCGCCGCCGAAGCCGGCGCGCGTCGTCACGCTCCCCACGTCGCAGACCACGGACTCGAGGCCGGTTGTCGAGTAGCCAGCGCGCATGGCGAGGCCGGTTGTCGAGTCGCCGACCGCTTGGGGGAGACACAAGAATTCGCCGCAACTCTGCTCAGGTGGAGACATGTGGTGGCGGCGTGCCGTCCTCCATCCCTCCCTTGGGTTGTGCGTTTTCTTTCTTTCTTTCTGGGACCTTGTCCACCTCCCCTGGCGTCTCTGTTTTCTTTCTTTCTTCATGTACGGATCATGTAGTCCCCGTGGGATCGCTTGTCATGTGAGAGAGATTTTTAGAAGCCAACAAGAAATGTGTCACACAGAGTGATTTGCGCTCGTCATGTGAGAGAGAGATTTTTTCTTGTCATGTGAGAGATCGTGTTGTGTTCTTGTTGGCTATCCACTTTGAGACCAATTCTCTTCCTCAAACAGGTGTATGTACTTCTTGCTTGGGCGGCACTCATGATGAAATTCTGCAAAAACCTGGCCGGCCCCTGCGGTGCCCCTACCTACCTACCTACCTACCTACCCTACTTATGGGAAACTAAAAAAGAAATCACGGATGGGTGAAGGTGGGGTACTATACCAACTTAAAGTGATGGATGGTGGTACTCTCCTGCAACCACAGTCCTTCCTGTGACATGGCAGGCCACTCTCAGGCCCTACAAGCATCAGATCACCCATTTGGGGACGTTTGACATCGTGATTTGTCCGGAAATTTTCTTTTTCTGCTGTGAAAATTCCGGCGTGAAGAGAGGGAAAACCACGACGGGAGGGCCCAGACCTACCCTACCTACCCCGTCATGAGTGCCGAAAAGGCAAAAAAAGAATACACCAGCAAACTGTTTGCGGGTGTGTTTGCGCGGCGCGGCCGCGAGGTTGACTACACCAAATTCGGACAGCTGATAGGACCCATGTTGGCTGTCGCACTCCCTTGTATGCTCCTCGCATCGCAATTCGTCGACGCTGAACCCGCACTGCTCGCGACGGCTCCCACCGCAAGCGCTCGGCGGCTCGCTGCACCGTCGGCTGCAGAGAGTGCACCAGAGGGCGAGACCAAGGTGAGGCATCCGCAGAAGGCTAAGGAAGTCAACATGGGGAAACTCAAAGGCGGCAAGGGCGGCGGTGGTGGCGGTGGCGGCGGCGGTGGCGGCGGCGGCGGCGGCGGCGGCAAGGGCGGTGGAGGCAAGAGTGGCGGAGGCAAGGGCGGGGTTGGCAAGGGCGCTGGCCTGGTTGCGCCCTCACAGCTGAGTGGCGGAGGAAACGTCCTACCGGACGCCGGCCCGCCGGACGCCGGCCTGCCGGCGCTTCTGCTCCACGCCGCTGTCTCGTTGGTCTCTTGCTGCGCGCCTCTGCTCATATGCGCGTTGCCATCACCCCCGCGCGGGTCGCTCACGCACTCGGCCGTGGATAGGCGCGCTGCTGGTGGTGCTGCTCGGGGGGGCGGCCACGGATGACCCGATGGCGCGCCTTCGGCGCGGCCTGATGACCCTGGTGGCAGTCCTCGCTCTCGAAGGTATCGCTCACTTGGCCGTCCCTCAGCCGCACATCAGCGTCGCCGTCGTCGTCGCGGCGTCGGTGCGGCGAGATGTGGGGAGATATGTTCCGCATCTAGGCCTCGAGATCTGGGGAGATGTGGGGAGATATGTTCCGCATCTACGCCTCGAGATCTGGGGAGATGTGGGGAGATACACCGCATCCAGGCGGACGATCGACCCCGCGGCCACGGGGGACGTCCCGGGCCCAGGCACGACTCGTAGAAAAAAGAAATCGATGGGCCGTAGGTTGTGCTGACGATCAACCCGCTGCCGGGCCGCGACGGCGTGCCTGGGCTGCACATGGGCACGGCGCCGCTGCTGTGCGTGGGTTGGCTGTGGGCGGTAGGCATTCTGTCGCTGGCCGACCTCGAGCGCTCGCTGTATGGCACGCCCTCTCTCCGGCCGTACCACCTCGTGGTCATGTTTCTGGGCTCCGTCTACCTGTGCACGGCGCTCGAGCGATCCGGGTTCTTGCACGTATAGCAACGGACTCCGTCTTCTCTCCGCCTTCTTGTATTCCAGCCGGCGCTCTCGAGGGGAGACGCACTCCGCAGTACTCGGCGGCACTCGGCTGCATTCGTACCCCTCGTCCTCACGCGGTGCTCTGAGTACGCTGCACAGTACCGCATCCCCGCCCTGAGGTTGGCGCCCTCACACTGCAGGTTCTTGCACACCGCGGCCACGCGCGTGGTCTCCCACTTCGGCCGCTCGCCGTGGGGGCTCTTCTGGGCGCTCGGCTGCTTCTCCGCATGCCTCACGGTGAGCCACTCACAACGTCGCAAGCCCGGGCCCAAGATCACGCCCGCCACCGTCGAGAACGGGCACCAGCGGGGACACACCAGGCGGGCGGCGACAGTCAGAAGGCAACCCCTTTCCTCGCGCCGCTGGTGGCAGGTCCTCATCCCGGACGACATCGTCACCATGACGCTCACGCGAGAGCGGATTCCGACCCACCTGTCGCCGCCGGTGCGGCCCGTCATGACGGCGCTGCGTCCGACGTCTCGTAGGCCAGTCACCCTAGAAGCCGAATGCGTACTTCTGTCCCTGCGGTTCGAACTCGCGCTCGCGAGGACGCGTGTTCCGCTGTGTTCGGCCGTGCTCGGCTGTATTCACTGTCTTCGCCCGTATCCCCACCCCGACCTCGGCGTCTTCATGACTTAGGCTGCCCATATCTCCCCATATCTCCCCATATCTCCCGCCCCGACCTCGGCGTCTTCATGACTTAGGCTGCCCATATCTCCCCATATCTCCCCATATCTCCCGCCCCGACCTCGGCGTCTTCATGACTTAGGCCAATCACCATCCGCATGTGCCAGCTGCTCGCGCTCCCCGAGGTGCCGTTCCTCTTCTCGCAGTTCTTTGCGGGCAACATCTGGGCCGTCACCCTCGTCACCGGCAACCCGACCAACGTCTTGCTCGCCGAGGTCTGAGACACTTCCGAGACACTTCCGAGACACCCCTGAGGCACCGAGACACCCCCGAGGCACCCCCGAGACACTCCCGAGGCACTCCCGAGACTCTTGCTCTCCCGAGACACTCCTGAGGGGAGCCACAACCTCGAGGAGGAGCGGACTCAGGTTTTACTCAGCTGTGCCCGGCTGCACTCGCGGTCTCCGTGGCACGATGCTGCGAAGACACGGCACGATCCCGGGAGCGGAAAGGAGGAACCTCTTCCCAAGATAGCGCCACTCTTGGAGCGCCGCCACTACCACCCAGAGCGCTGCAAGCAGCGCCGGACGATGACGCTACCGCCCCCCTAGCCCCCCCATCGGCACACCCCGGCAGCCAATGTGTGTCGGCTCGAACCCGCTAAGCCATCCCGCCTTGACTCTGGTCTCTCCGTGCCGCGCAGGACCTCGGCGACACGTTTGTCTCGTTCGCCGCCCGGATGGGCGTACCGGGAGTGAGGACGTCCCGAGACGCACGATTGACCCCCCTTGGCGAGATTCCGACCTCTCCGCTGGCCCTCTAGGTCGCCGCCGGTCTCGTCTCCTTTGCACTGATGTGCGCCGCCGACGCGCCCCCCTTCACCCCCGCCGCCCTCGCTCTCGCCCTCGCCGCCGCCTCCCTCGCAGCCGCCGCCTCCAACCCCCCTCCCCTCCGATGCGTGTGGGTGGTAGGATGTCATCAGTCAGTCAGCCAGTCAGTGTGACACACCTCCTGTCGTAGCACCAAGGACGGGCCCACGCGCGCACACACACGCTGCGCACGATCGGCTCGGGAGCCGACACGAGGCACACTGTCACCGGCCGTAGCACTGGGCCCGGACTGCTGGACGCACAGGTATATCACCAACCGCACCAAAGTGGATGTGCGCGCCGACCCCACGGGCCGCGAGGCGGGGGGCGCTCGAGCCCGCGGCGCAGCGAGCGGCCACCCGAGGTCAGCCGGGGTCGACCGAGTAGGCGGGACTCGAGCTCGCGGCGCTGGACGCCGGAGACGGTCCGGGGGAGGCGGCGCCGTCTCACTCGGCGCTGGGCCGCTTCGAGAGCGTGGCCGCAGCCTCGGCGCCGTCTTCTCTTGCGGTGCGCACAGCGCCGACACACACACTGGCGGGGTCAGCGCGGGGAGCGCGACAGTGCGGCCTCGTGTCGCGCGTCCGAGGGGGGAGCTAAGCGCCGCCGGCGCGTGCGTATGGCCATTGGTGGAGCGCGCGCCGCCTCTCCCACTGATATGCGCGCGCCCTCTGCGCCCTCCACCTCCCAACCCCCCCCCCCCCCCCCTCCCTCCCCCCTCCCTCACACACACACACACACGCACCGTGGCAGGGGCAAGACTCTGAAGGCGACGGCGACGGCGAGCGATCCAGCCTCGGCTCGCGCCACCACTCTCCCGAGGGCGAGCGGGGCTCGGCCCGCGACGGCACGTTCACGCGCACCGGCGTCTTTTGCCTCGTGCGGGTGCTCACAGCGACGCTCATCTGCGCGCTCGAGTCGGTGCACGGCAACTGCCCATGGGTCCGATGGGCCCTCCCGCCGTCTCGCGGTGAGCGCGCCTCCTTCCGGACACACAGGTGCACGGACTGCCCGTCTACCTCGTCGTCCTCATCATGGGCGCCTGCTCCATCGTCGTGGACGGCCTGATCGATGCCGCTTTCGTGGCCGACACGCTGCGCCACATGCCATGGGAGCTCTTCAGCTTCGTCACCGGCTCTCCTCGTCCTCGCGTGGCCTACCCAGCAGCGGGCTCGTCCGCAGAGACATTTCCCTGAAACGTCGTGTAGGCTTCCTCGTCCTCGCGGAGGCCATGTCTGTCACCGGCATTTCGCTCGCTTTGGCGTCGGTGTTCCTGCCCCTCGCGCACACCAAGTCCGTCGCGTACGTCTCCGGTTTCGCGACGGTGCTCGTTTGCAACCTTAATGAGTCACTGATTGATTAATCATGAATCATTGGCAGGATTCGTGACGATGCTCTTTTGCAACCTGTTTGAGGCGCTACCGCCACCCTCACCGCCACCCCCACCGTCATCCACTGCCGCCATCGCCACCCGCACCATCGCCACCATCGCCTATGCCACCCGCACCGCCGCCACCCCCGCCTCCGCCAGACGCTGCCAGCCACCCTCATCGTCTTCAAAATGATCGACTCGGTGCCGCAATGGAAGCCTGCTGCCATCGCCGCTGCCGGCGTCCACGGCGCCGGATTTCGCGCGGCACGGCGCGCGGCGCTCTCTGCTGTCATCTTTGGCTCAAACTTTGGCGCAAACACGGCGTGCATCGGCTCGTTGGGCGGGCTGATGATGCGGCGGCTCGCGGCGATGCAAGGCGTCGTGGTGACCAACGGCATGCTCCTGCGGCAGGGTCACCCCCTAGAAGCGGAATCAGACCTTTGTGTCCCAACTAGCGCTCGAGAGGACACGTATTCCGCTGTGCTCGACCGCATTCAGCCGTAGTCGCTGTATTCGCAGCCCTTCGTATTCACGCGGTGCTCTGAACACACTTCACGACCGGACTCGCGTCTCGAGGTCGGTGTATTCATGACGCAGGGTCGCCCCCAACACGCACCGCGACACGGCCGCGGCATGTGAGGGGCACTGACCAGTCGGGACATTTCCTGTAGGCATCCCTGTGATGATACCGACGATGTTCGTGGCGTGTTGGGTGCTGGTCAATTGGTCGGAGGTATGACAACTGGCAGCACAGCCCGACAGGCGCCTGCGGCCGGTGCCGGTGGTGGACGTGGTATGTCAGTGATGCCCCAGCGGCTGCTGCCTCTGTGAAAGATGGAGCAAGATTCGACGATCTGACTGACACATGGGTGTGTCGGGCCGGGCGTCGCCTCTGAGAGAGATCTGAGAGGTCTGCGTGTGTGTTCTTCGCGTGCGTAAAAAAAAACTGTTCAAGTCTTAAAGGCAAAACACAACGCTCTTGGTTGTTGTTCTTCGCGTGCGTAATATTCTCACCGAACCGCGCAAAACAGGTAAAGAGCTCTCCGACTAGCTAACGTCAGCACAGGCCGGTCCGGAGTCCGGTGGCGGTGCCGCAGTGTCCCAGCGCGATGGTACAAGCCTACCGCGCGGGCGCCAGCCGATGGAGCATCGAATCGCACTCCGACTTCTTGAGGTGCAGCGTTAGAGTGGGTGGCGAGCGGTCCGTGCGCGTCGCTGCGAGAGAGAGCTGCAGGGGAAACGCGGTCGGATCGAACGCGCGCCGCCCCTGGGGGTCGTGCACAATTGCCACAGAGCCAGCGGCCGCCGTCTCGAGAGCAGCGACCAAGGAAGGGTTGCCAACGTCGGGCGCGAGCGAGCGGCGCGTGAGCAAAGCGCGCAGCTCGGGCGTCGAAAGGAAAAGGAGCTGCTTCGTCATGTATGGCAGCAAGCAAGGCACGCCCTCGCACGTTAGCCGGAAGCCAAAGGGCCTACGCCACCCACATCAGCTGCGGTCGGAAAAGGGACTAGCCAGCCTCGAGAGAGCGTCGAGGGACATGATGGGGTCGGACACTTCTCTCCTCTTCTTCTCTCCTCGCATGAGCGGGGCGTCACAGTCATCTCGGGTAATCACGGGAAATCTCGCGTGATCTCGGGTAGTCTCACATGAGCGGGTCGTCACACTTCTCGAGCAAACGCACGCCGGTGTTGACGAGTTTGAGCTTGGTCTGCACGTCGCTCCGCAGCAGCGCCAGCAGCGCGGGGGCAAGGAAGATCACACTCTTGCCCGTGGCAGAGCGCGCAATTAGCTGGTCGAAGGGGAACGCGCCTCCGAGGCCGAAGAACTCGCGCACCTGCCCCAGAAACGAGTCAGCGAGCGAAAAGATCGCATCGTACCTACCGCCAAGAGCCCATCCTCGAGAGAGCGCTGCAGCAGCTGCCGCAGGCACGCACGCGGCGCTCACTTGCCATTGTTGCGCGGCGAGCAGTGCAACACCGCCCGCACGTGTGGGGCGAGCTTCGCGCCCTTGGGCAGCGACCTACACTCAAAACAAGCCGTCAGAACGCGACCCCCTCTGTGCCAAAACGCTACCCTCTGGAGGCCGCGACCGTGAGCCCGCGCCCGCGTCCGCGCCTCCGAGGACGTGCCCAAAGCGACAGGCTGCGCCGCGGAGGCAAGACCCGTTCTGGAAGGCGTAGCAGAGGCCGTGCTGCTGCCCCTTCTCCCGCTCCGCCACCTCGTCGATGACGCAACCAGCCTCGTCGGCGCCTCCGCACGGCACACCGCCTTCCTCGCCGCCCTCGCCGACGGCGAGGGCTGCGGAGCCCTCCTCGCCGTGTGCCGCCCGAACCCCCGCACCCTCCTTGCCCCTCGCCGCGGCCTGCGTTTCCGCCGCTCCCGCAGCCTCCTCCGCCGCCATCGCCGCGTCCGCCGCGTCCGCCGCTCCACCCCCCTCACCCCCCCCGCTGCCCACGGGCGCCTTTTCGAAGACTGCGATGAAGAAGCCGCCCGTGTCCTGCTGGTGGGGCAGGACCCGCATCGTTCGCTCCAGGTGGAGCTCGGACGCGACGTCCGGCGGCGGCGGGAAGAAAGAGTCACACGCCTTGTCGCCAACCTCGGCCCGGAGCGCCTCCACGGACTCAAAGAAGCGGCCGTTTGCAAAGACGCGCCACGAGCCCACCCCAGCATGCCGCTTGAGGCCGGGAAGCAGCTCGTCGGTGCGCACAAGCGTGACTCCTCCGGCCAGTGACTCCTCGGCGTTGGCCTTGAGCAGAGCCCGCGCCACCACCGCCTGTGGAAGGACAACAAACCGCATCCGCATGGTGCATGTGTAGAAAACGAACGCCGCCGGCAAGCCTGCCGGCGTCTAAGGGCGCCGGGGAAGGAAGTGCGGGCGCGGCCGCGTGGGGTGGGGTGGGGTGAGGTGGGGTGGGGTGGGGTGGGGTGAGGTGGGGTGGGGTGGGGTGGGGTGAGGTGGGGTGGGGTGGGGTGGGGTGGGGGGCCAAGTGGAGGACGGTTGGGAGGGTGTGGCGGGAAGGGAGACGCCTCGTCCTCGATCGGGTTCATGGAGCAAGTCGAGTAGACGAGCCGGCCGCCTACAGCCGCGCCACCTCTGCGTCCAGACAAGGCTGGCTGGGACCGCCAGGGTCTGCCGGCGCGCCCGGCTGCAGCAGCGACAAGCCGCGCGAGAGGATTGCGAGCTGCAGCCTACAGAGCTGCGCGAACGCCTAAGGCGGCTCGGCCCGGACGGCGGCGCCGGCACAAGGGCGCGCTATTGGGCCGATGGACGCCCCACGCCAGCTTCTCGTTCCACCGCCGCCACAGGTCGGGGCACTTGCGCAGCGTTCCGTCCCCCGAGCACGGGACGTCGCACAGGATGCGATCAAAGCGCAACCGGCCGCTGCCGTCGACATCCAGCCGCGTGGGGAGCATCTGCGCGTCGTGGTTGGTGACGACGAGAAGCGGCGAGTTCAGCCGCTTAGCCTGGTGCACAAGCAGATGGCACCGCCTGTACTCTGCGTCGTTGGCGATCACCATTCCTCCGCACGTGGCGGCGAGCGAGCCGGCGGAGCACTCGAGGAGCTGCTGCGTTTTCGAACCGGGCGCGGCGCACATGTCGAGGACGCGCTGGCCGGGGCGGACCTCCAGCACCTCCGGGGGCACCATCGAAACCTCCTCCTGCCGACTCATGTTGCCGAGCTCCACCTCCTGCGTCAAGAACTCGTGGAACGCCGCGAGCGTCGACTTGGACGCCGCCTCCTCTGGCGTCGGGTCCTGGGCCGGGCCGTCGGCGTCGGCGCGGCGGACGCCCTTGCCGCGCAGCGTCGCGCGCGACACGTCGAACCGCCACGCCAGCCTTCCGGGCAGCCACGGGATCGGTGTCGGCGGTGGAACCGCGCCAGCGCCGGGCACGACGAGCTGTTGCATCCGCTGCACGTGCTTGCGCTCCATCCAGTCCCGCAGCGCGAGGGCGGTCGGGTCGTCGGGCCGCCCCGTGATGCGGAACGAGACGCCGAGCGGCGTGCGTAGCGCCGCCAAGAAGGCGTCCCACTCGGACGGCGGCACGAGGCCGAGACCGCGGTAGTACGTCTCAAAGTGCTCGTTCTCGAGGAGCGGTGGCGGCGGGTAGCCATCCGTGCCGCCGTCCGCCGCGTACCCGCCCGGGTCGCGCTGCTTGCGCTTGCCCATCGCTGTTGCGGGCCTGTGCGTGTGGGCTCGTCGTCGATGTTTGAGAAAACAAACGCACGTGAATATCGCATCGCTCTCGGGGTATCTCCCCTCCCTCCCTTGTGTCTGTTTTCTTTCTTTCTTTCTTCGGGGCGCACAGACATCCCGCCCCCCGCGCTTTCTTTCTTTTTCTTCCTTTCTGGCCGTTTCGTTGGTTTGGTATCTGTTTTTGTTGAAAGGGGTGGGGCGCATCCTTACAAGTTCCTGATCAGCTGGTCGGCCGCCACGTGGGCCTCCGGGCCTGCTGCGGCGGCGCGGCCGGTTGAGGCCGGGCTCGGCCCGGCCCGCGACGGCTGGCCGCCGACGAGCACGCTCGCGCTGCTCGTCAAGATGGCGGCGGCTAGGGCGGCGGTGGCGATTGCGGCGACAAAAGTTCAGTCGTACAGCGCTCAGGCGTCTGTCATCTGTCGTCTGTTGTCGCATTTTGCACACGCGCGCGCCGCGCGACCCGCGTCGCTCCGCGAGGGCATGTGAGCCTTCCGCGATATTCGATCCCGCAGCCAAAAGCTGCTCGCTCGAACCGCGGCCGACTCCGCCATCGCGGCCGCAGCTGTTGAGCTCTCCAGAAGACTGGTGCCTCATATGCTGCCTCCCTGCGGATGCTCTACCTCGAATTCTTCTACCCCCACGACTCGGAACGCGAATGTGACAGGACCATCAGGTCCTTCGGCCACCAAAGCGAGATCACCCGAGAGCAGCTGAGCCTGCCTCTGGCCTCGCCTCCCTCTCCTTCAGGCATTCGTGGCATCCTATGGGTCGTCCAGAGTATCGACCTCTGGCTTGTCAGTCGCGGTCACTTGATGACCCCCATGAAGTACAGCGATCGCCATCTCGCTGGCCTCTGACTCCGCAAGGCCCCCCCCCGACCGCGTCGAACTCCTCGGCGCGGGCTCTCTCGGCTACGGGACCGGCCCCAGCTTCGGCTGAGGGCCAACAAGCTGCCGAGCCCAAATCACTGTGAGGGTCGTGATTTCTTGTTGGTGATCAAAAATCTCTCTCGTTCGTATGCTCCAACAAACCAAAGATGCGCGCCCCGGCCAACGCGCCGGTCGTGCACGGTGACAAGGAGAAACCAGAGCTCATCCGGCAGTACAACGAGGGGTACAAGGTCGACCTCGCGGAACCCCACGCTGGCCCGGGAGGATGCGATGAGGTGAATGAAGTCAAGCTCTGGACGCCCCTCCTCAAGACCTCCTCGGCGGGCGTTGGTAACGCCTCGAGCGGCGGCACGCCCGCCTCCGTTGGCCACTCCTACGCCTTCGGCAACACCGAAGAGAAGGCCCGCCGCCTAAACATGGGCTGCAAGGCGCGCGGGCAGCCCGGCCAACCCTTCGACCACAAGAACGGCCACGGCTACGTCAAGGCGCATCGCGGTTTCTACCACGACGCGATCTTTGTCAAGCGCAACAACTTCAACCTGCTGCTCCACGAGACGTTCGGCGGCGGCTTCTCGCCCACCGCCGTTCTCAAGCTGCGCCGCCTCGCGCGCAAAGTCGCGCGCGGCAGCGTTGACCGCACAGCCTACTCGCCCAAGTACTCGCTCTCTTTTATGTCCCACCATGCAGAGCGCATCTCTCTCTCTGTTGTGCGAGTTAGTGCCAGTGCGCGCCAGTCCCGTGCCCAGTGTTGTGCGACGGAGTTTTGTTGTAAAACTCTGTTGTGCGAGGCGTGAACCGCGCCATTCGCTCTCACCTGGCAACCCTGTCTGCACGTCTCGCGCGCGCGTGAACAGGGCTCCAGGCCCCAAATGACGTGTGAGTGTTAGAGTTGTTTGGTATTGCTAAAAATCTCTCTCTCTATGCTCCTGACCGCCCAAGAGCCAAGACTAGCCCTACCATACCCCCAAGCAGGTCTGTCAGCAGGCGGGGCATGCACAACTGACTCCTCATCACCTCCCTACCAACATACACATGTTGTAGGAAGGTGAAGAACAGCCTGCCTGTGTGGACCATACCATACCTTCCCAAAAAGTCCGAACCCTCGAGGGGTGCTAAACGCCAACACCGCTGCCCCCGGCGTTTTGGGCGACAAACAGCGCTGCGACCGCAAAGTGGCGGTGGACATGCTCCCATGTTGCCGACGCGGCGCCGGAGTGGCCGGCGCTGCTCGCCGCGACCACGACGGCTACTCCGATGCGCCGGGCCGACCCGTCCTACCCGACGGTGGCACTCTTCCACGTCTCGCTCACGCTGAGAAAAATTCTGAAACGGCGTGCGGCAGAGTCGCCGACGAGTCGGTGCGTGTGCCTCCTCGTGTCGCGCATCGTTCTCACCCATCCATAAACTCACTTTGGCCTCACTAAAGCGAAGGCTGAATCCTCAATCCTCAGATTTTAGATTAGGACGCTGTGGGCCCTCTATCAACTTGAGGCCCAGCGACGCATGCCGGGAGGCCGTTTTTTAAAAGAGGGACCCCCCGCCTGGAATCTCTTAAGTGGCAATTTAAGCCCCCCCAAACCACCTCATTTCTTAAAAGCTCTTAAAAAAAACCGGCCCTCAGAACCCTTGCGCCTTGGGGTCCCCTAAAGAAAAGCCCCGCCCCGCGCCGCCGCGCCCCCCCCCCCTCTCGCCTCTGGTCTTGGGGATTGCGCCGCGGCCTGTCCGCGCTTCGACTATGACTTCAGACTTCTGTGCTGTGCTCCTGATACATATTTTTTGACGCAGGACAGCAGTGGGCACCTAAGCGGCGCCGGCGGCATGAGAGAACAAGGTGGCCGGTCGATCTCACACGCCGCCACACACACGCAGTGGAACCGGGACGACGCCCCTTCCCGAGAGGCCGACGGGACGCGGGAGGGGGTGCCGAGCAGCGCGAGACGCCGTGGCCCGACCAGCCGTGCATCACCAGGCAGGCCCGTCGCTGTTCGCCCACTCCTCGAACTTTGGGCTGTCGACCCACGCCTCCCACGCCTTCCAGTTCTCCTCGTTCTGCTCCCACTCGTCAAAGTTCTCCGTCGTCGGGAACTCGAAGCCTGCGGGAGAGGGGGCGGGGGCGCGGGCTCGATTGGCGGCACGAGGGGTGGTCGTCGATGCGGGGGAGGAGGAGGAAAAGGGGCGGTGGGGGCGGTGGAGAGCCGAGCGGGGGACGCCTCACCCCACTTGGCCGAGGTGACCGAAGCGCCTTCGCCGCCCTTGACCTCGAACGAGACGCCGAGGCCCGACATTTTCGACGCGAGCGCCTTGGGCGCCTCCTTCTTGGGCACCGGCTTCGATGTCAGCATCCCCTTGATCTTGACCATGCCGTACACGGTCGAATAGAGCCCGAAGATGGCGAGGACAATCTGCGAGGGGGGAGGAGAGCGACTGGGCGCGAGGGCCCGTGGGTGGGTGTCGTCGAGAGGAGGGTTCCACTCTGACCTGTTCCGACCCTGATCCGACCCTGATCCGACCTTATGTGAACACCGACCTGATCTGACCCTGTTAGGTTTGAACAAGGTCGGAACAGGGTCGGATCAGGGTCGGAACAGATGAGCTGCCCCACGTATGGCCCTTTTTCCCGACCTTGTTCCGACTCTGGTCCGACCCTGATCCGACCGTGTTCGGCAGCGTTCGAACACGGTCGGAACAGGGTTGGATCACGGTCGGAACAGATGAGCTGCCCCACGTATGGCCCTTTTTCCCGACCTTGTTCCGACTCTGGTCCGACCCTGGTCCGACCGTGTTCGGCAGCGTTCGAACAGGGTTGGATCATACCATGATCCGACCGCACGGACGGGCACAGCATGATCCGACTCTGTTCCGACCGTGATCCGACCTGATCCGACCGCGGTCGGAACAGGGGTCAGCGGCGGCGGGAGGGAGGGATTTTCCCGACCGTGTTCGAAGTGAACACGGTCGGATCAGGTCGGTGTTCGAGAGAGGTCGGATCAGGGTCGGAACAGGTCAGAGTCATACATACCCTCTTGTCGAGCGAGGACATGCCGCCCGCGAGACTCGCTCGGCGCGCGCAGCGGCTCAACGCCACCATGCTCCGGCGGCGTCGCTTTGTGATGGCCGGGCCCAACGTCATCGAGTCCGAGGCGCACGCCTTTGCGACGGCCGCTGCGCTCGCCGAGGCGATGGCGCCGTTCGACGCGACTCTCATCTTCAAGGCGTCGTTCGACAAGGCCAACCGAACGAGTGGCGGCTCATACCGCGGGGTGGGACTCGCGGCAGGGTGCCGGCTCTTCGAGCGCGTGCGCTCCGAGCTCGGGCTGCCGGTCGTGACGGACGTGCACGAGCCACACCACCCGGCGGAGATCGCGCACTGCGTCGACGTGATCCAGATCCCGGCGTTCCTCTGCAGGCAGACGGACCTGATCGCCGCGGCTGGTGCCACCGGCCGAGTTGTCCAGATCAAGAAGGGCCAGTTCGCCTCGGCCGAGGCGATGCACCAGCAGAAGCGCAAGGCGCTCGACGCCGGCGCCGGCGGGGTCATTCTGTGCGAGCGCGGGAGCTTTTTTGGCTACCACGACACGGTGGTCGACCCGCGCAACCTGCGCTGGCTGCGCGAGGAGGCGGCGCCGCCCGGCGCCGCCGGCGAGACCCTCGTCTGCCTCGACGTCACCCACTCCCTGCAGCGGCCGTCGAAGCAGCTCGCCGACGGCCGCATTGTCTCTGGCGGCAGTCCGCGCGACCTGGCCCCGTGGATGGCGAGGCTTGGCCTCGCCTTCGGTGCGCACGGGCTCTTCGTCGAGGTGCACGAGCAGCCCGACGCCGCACTGTGCGACGCGCCCACCCAGTGGCCGCTCCACCGTCTTTCGGAGCTGCTGGACACGGCCGGCTTGGCGAGGCATCCGGTGCAGCAGCTGCCGCCGCAGCTGCTGCCCAACGCCGGTTGTGCGCAGCCGGCCGTCGACATCGACGTCCCGCCACCCATCTCCGCCGCCACTCCGGCCCCCGCCTCAGCTGCGAGTCCGTCGGCGGCCGTCGCCGCCGGCGGTGGCGGCGGCGGGGGCGGAGGAGGCGGAGGAGGAACAATGGGCGCGTTCCGCGCGGCGTTGGCACGGGGCGAGTTGACGGTTCGTTCCGCGAGCGCCGGTGCCGACGAGGCGGCTGCGGACGCAGCGGTGTCCGCTCTGCTGCGGTGTAGAGGCCGCCGCCTCACCACCGGCCTCGGCAAGTCGGGTCTGGTCGCCGCGCGCCTCGCCTCCTCCCTCTCGGCCATCGGCCTCGGCGCGGCGTACGTGCACGGGGCCGAGTGGGCCCACGGCGAGCTGGGCGGGGTGGGTGACGGCGACGTGGTCCTCGCCGTGTCTCACTCTGGCAGCTGCGCACTCTGGAGTGAGTGTCGACCCACGCTTCGCGCACGACGCAGCAAACCGCTGGCTTCTGTAGGCGTTGCGGCAGAGCTGCTGTGCGGATGGCCGTCACCCTGGCGAGGCGTGACTCAGCGCAGCCCGCGCTCACCGCGCCCGATGGCGCGTGTAGGCAACTCACCTCCGAGGTGCGCGAGCGGGGCGGCACGCTCCTGGCGCTCACGGGCGGCCACCAGACGCCGCTCGCCAGGATGGCGCACATCTCGTTGCCTTGCGCCGCCGCCGCCGAGGGCGAGCTGCTCGGCGTGCTGCCAGAGGCGTCGACGCTCGCGGCGCATCTCGTCATCAACGCACTCCTCGCCGAGTGCGCGTCGCGCTTGCGCCTCTCCCCTGCCGACCTGCGAAAACACCACCCCGGAGGAGCCATCGGGCGCCGGCTCGCGGATTGCATGCCGAGGAGAGACAGCTTATAGCAAGGGGAGAGGCGCGGGGTACACCTCAGAGGTGGGGGGGCGCCATTTGCAGCTCCTTGTGAGTATTCGTACAGTGCGGTTGGTGCTGGCCTGCTGTCGCGCGAAGAACTTGCGCTTGCTTTTTTTCGCTCCTCCAGAGGGGCTAGGGGCTGCCCCCCGCGCCCCCCGCCCCCCGCCCCCCCCCGGGGCCGCGTGTGGGCGTGTGCCGCGCGGGGCGCGTGCTCATGGGGCCCGGTTCGGTGCCACGGTGCGGCTTGTATACCACGCGAGCACCGGGGGGGGGGGGGGGGGGAGTTTCACGGTGTACTTCATGACGACACACACACTACAGCCGAACAGGTGAGGTCCATTACTCGCGCGCAAGAGTGGGGGCACCGGGGCACCGGTGCAACACACCGAGCCTGGGCAGGGGGGCCTCCGCGAGCGCGCACCAGGACGCCTCCACACGATCCACAGTCCATACATCACAGCGTTCACAGCGTCCACTATGCGAGCACGGCAGGGCCGCATATACATCAGCTCAGCTGCCGCTGCAACTTCTTCTGCATTGCGACGAGCCGCTTCTGCACCTTCGCGCGCGCCGCGGCGTCGCCCGGTGACAGTTCAAACATGTCGCATGTCACGTGCAGCTCGGAGTTTGGTACACAGCACGTGGCGAGAGTGATCGCCGGGGCCAAGCCGAGGCTCGAGTCTTCCATGTTGAGCTCGATGAGCCGAGGCAACGCCGCGAAGGCGGCGAAGACGCCGCGGCCAGCCCATTGCTCCCCGTCCTCGAGGCAAACAAGGTAGGCGAGGTGGAGCTCCTCGATCGTAGGCGGGAGAGAAAGCATCGCCGCCGCCATCGCCTCGTCTGCATCCACCCCCCAGCAGCAGCCGCTCAAGTTTAGGACGCGCAGCGCGCGAAAGTGTCTTAGCTCTTCCCCGAGGTGACCCCACATGTGCGCGAACGCCCAGAAATTCGTAGACAGAGAGTCTCGCGTCCACGACAGGTCGAGCGTCGACAGCGACGCGTGCAGTCGTGGCTGCGAGAAGGGCTTGGTGTTCTGCGCGCTCTCAACGTACCCGCCGTTGCGGCAGTTGAAGTCGCTGATGGCCCAATCCTCCCAGAAAGCGATGCCCTCCGGTCCGAAGATTTGGTGGACATCATCGTGGTACATGCCCCCGGCGTTGCCTCCAGGGTGTGGCGTAAAGCGCAAGACCTCCAAGTGCTCGAACTCACCGATCGTTTGCATGCACGCCTGGAACAGGATCGGCGCGAAAGCAAACTCGAGCTCAAGCACGCGCAGATTCGGCATGGCGCGCGCGAATGCGGGCGAGCAGAGTTGGCGTGCGAGGTAGCTCTTCCTGGTGTCATGCTCGTCGTGCTTGGGTATGTGCTCAGTAAGCTGGCATCCGATGTTTGAGAACCTCTCCAAGTGGTTGAGATGGGTTGCCTCCTCGAGGTTGCCCATCAAGCCAGACCAGCCGCCGAGCAGGCCAAGCTGTCCGAGGTGCGGTCGCGCCTCGCGGCCGCTCTTGTGTGGGGCGTCCCGCCAGGAGAAGTGCAGGCTGCGTGTGCGGTGCTGCTGCATGCGTTTCTTGAGCCCTTCTCCGTCAACGAGAAGCACCTTGGCCGCGTCCGCTGGCTCCGCGAAGAAGAGGTGCTCGACGCCGCGCCAGCCCGCAGCCAGGCGGCGGCACAGCAGCGCCGCAGACGCGCAGGCCCGCGAGTCCTTGAGGAATGTGAGGACCTTGATGAGGAGCTCCTCCGGCAGATCCTGCAGGTTTATCGCATCGGCACTGACGGCCGACTGAGGCAATGTGCCCGACTGAGATACTGGGCGGCGGCGCGAGAGGGGTGGCATAGTCGCACACGAAGACCGTGCGAAGCTACCGCGGCGGCCCCCGAGATGCCGGTGCCCCCCCGCGACTGCCGGTGCGCCCGGATCCGGGGGGTGCGACGGAAACTTGCCGAGGTGCACGCCTGGGCCTGGTGTATGACGTTCGACGTTCACAGCCTTGTTATACGAGTATTATGAGAAGAAAATACGTCCTACGGCGCTATGCGCTGTTCACAGACGGTGCGTGAATCTGGCTGTGGTCGCCGATCCCGGCGACACTGCTGTTTGCTTTGCTGCCATCCTTTCGCGCTTGAGCTCCGAGTGGCGCCCGCGCCCGTCCAGCTGCGGGCGGGGTGCTGCAAGCCGCCTGCGGCGCCTGCGTGCAGCGCTGGCGGCTGCCGCTGCCGGGCCACCTCGGCCAGGCCCGGGAGGACGGCGCACTGCGCAGGCCCCCCCCGCTGGGGCACGCCCTGCGTCCGCAGCGCGGCGGCGGCATCGGCGAGGCCCTTTGAGACCGGGAAGCGCACCTCGCCTAGGTTCTGCTGCGCGGCGGACAGCGAAGAGTCCGCATTCCTCTCCTCGACCATGCGCGCTCGCCTCAAGAGGTCGCGTCTGCGAGGCAGAGCCTGCGCTTTGCTCTCTTGGGCCCCGAGAGAAAGAAAAGCTGGCTGCCCCGGGCCGTCCAGGATCCCTTCACGGCGGGCCCCTGTTCGTCCTTCCAAAGACCCTTGCTCTTACAGAGAGAACTTTTTGTGAGGTGTGATCTCCCTCTTTGATGGTAAGGGTTTACTTTTCGCTTGGCCGGCCCTGTGGGTGACCAAATTCTCCAATAAGCCCCGGCGGGTCCCACCCTAGTCCCTACCCCTACCACCTACCTAGACCTACCGACGTACCCTACGTATATGAAACTTGAAAGAGACATTCCGGAGAAATGCAGAAATAGTCCTCCTCCGGGAATGTACGTAAGAGCCACATACATGGAAATCTCTAGGCTCGCAGGAAAAGCGGAGGAACTAAACCCCAACACAGGCTGTCTCCATCCATCCATCCAGAAAGAACCGGTACAGCGATCGCCAACTCGCTGGTCTCTCCGCAAGGCCTCCCGACCGCGCCGAACTCATCGACGCGGGCTCTCTCGTGTCTCTCGACTGCGGGACCGGCCCCAGCTTCGGCTGAGGGCTGACAAGCTGCCGAGCCCAAATCACTGTGTGAGAGACGTGATTTCTTGTTGGTTTTCAAAACTCTCTCTCTCTCTCTCCATCCATCCATGTTTCTTCGCGCACGACCCTCTGCCCTGTCTCGTTTCGTTTCCATGTCCCTGCAGTTTCCTTGCAGCACCCTCTCGTTTTGACCGTAGAGGTTTCCCCGGACCAGATTCTCAAGGAAACTCGCGTGGAAATCGTCGTACGTCGAGATGTGTTTCGGGCTCTGAGCCGCGAGTCTGAGGGTGGTTTGGGGCCAAAATCAGCAATAGCGACTGTATCTTTTGCGGGCATACCTGAAAAAACCGTGTATACCTGGAAAATACCCGGGATTTTGCCCCAGACCAGCTCTCAGGCTCAGGCGTTAGGGAAACTCGAGAGTGCCAGAACTCGAGTGCCAGAACGGAGCACCGAATCCAGCAAACCACCCTCCAAGTGCTCCACCCTCTTGATTGAGCACACCTGAGCACGGGGGTACAGTGGGTTGCGGGCATTAAGAAAACAGGATTGCGCGGCACGCCGCCGTTTCTAAGCCTTGTGTTAGTGCCAGTGCGCGCCAGTCCCGTGCCCAGTGTCGTGCGAGGGAGCTTTGTTGTAAAATTCTAAGCCTTTCCACACCCCCTACCCTAGATTACCCCTACCTACCTAGACCTACCTAACGGGGCAGTTCACAGAGCGATGGGCTTGCCCATTCCGGTGGTGGTTCGAATCCACGCAAGCCGAAGGTGACGGTGGTTGTTGCATGTTGCATGTTGGGTGGGCCTCCCAGGCGATGGCGAGGGTGTGGTGCGAGCCCTGGAGGCCCTGGGGATGGGGGGAGACTACCCGCGGGCCTAGAAGGCCCGCGCGCAGGGGGGTGGGGCATTGAGACCGGTCATGAATGAGTGCGCGACACGCATGTTGCGAGCAGCGTTCGGTTGTTGATGTTCTGCGCGTCGCCACAGACGGCGGCGCGCGAGAGCTGTTGCGAGTGGAGCTGGACGAGGCCCAGGGCGCTGCCGGAGGCTGTGCCGTAGTCGGTGCGGTCGACGGCGCTCGGGCTGCCGACCTCTTTGGCGAAGTTGTGGATGATTCTCTTGGTTGGCGGCGCGATGCCGCCCTGGCTTTCGACGAGACAAATTTTCACGATTCCGTTCTTGACATGGAGCGCGTCGTAGTACTGTCCCTTGTGCTCTTTGACCCAGCCTTTGCCGGTCGCATGGACGAGCGGGGGGTGGCGACGGAAACTCGCCGAGGTGCACGCTGGGCCTGGTGTATGACGACAGACGTTCACGGCCTTATTATTGAGAAGAGTTCACAGCCTTGTTATGAGAAGAAAATACGTCCTATTTCACCGACGGAGCGGCAAGCACCGCAAGCAGCGGTCCGGTCTCGCCCGCCGATCTCAACGCCCCTCTGTTGCACGTGCAATAGGTACGCAAGCGAGAAGAAGGGCAAGCCGATCTTCAAGCCGACCGAGTACGACAACGGCGGCGGCGGCGGTGGCATCGAGGCCGGAAAGTGAACGTCGCCTCGGGGCGCGCGCGAGCCGGCGAGGTCGAGCGAGGGCATGCAAGGAGAGCGCGCAATCACCGCTTAAGGCGCCCAGGGGCGGCGCGCGCGCGCGCGCGCGCGCACACACACACACACAGCTGCCGACGCAACCTCACTAGTGTGTAGTGAGCGGCGGAGTTTTGTAGAGTTTTGGTGCGCTTAGGGGAGGTTGAGTTTTGTCCTTTTCTGTTTCTGTGACTGTCGTGTGTCGCCTCGTGTGGGACGGCTTTTATTGCAACATGGCGCATGCAGGTGGCATGCGCGAAAATTCGCTATGTAAGCCTTGCACTTGTCTCACCGATATCCGCACCTCGCATTCACGCCATTCAATCCTCCTCGCGCACTGCATGTTAGCGACACTTGTGCACCAAAACTGTGGAGCGCGCCGCGAGTTCGCGCCGTCACAGCGCGCTCGTCTTGTAGTAAGCGGCGATCTCGGGCAGTTCGAAAAATTTCTCCTTGAAGGCCTTGCATTTGGGATAGTCCTGGAGCTCGCGCAGCGGCGTGGGAAACATGCGGTCCTTGAAGGGCAAGTACTGGCCTAAGCGGCATGCCCAGGCGAAATCGCACGCCGCTGGCTCTTTCGTGCCGGCCAGCCAACCGGTACTGCTCTGCGCGAGCAGGGCCTCAAGCGCGGCAAGGTGGCGCGGCATGGTCTCCTCGCCGATTAGCTTGGAGGCGGCCGCGGTGTGCGCCTCGTCCAGCGCGATCCCGAAGCGAGTGGTGTATGAGGCGACGGTCGGCCCGAGGAAGGCGTCGGCCTCTTGGTCGAGCGCCGCATCCACCAACGCAGCCACGAAGTCGTCCTCTGGGTGGATTCCGCCCATCTTGGCGAGGTAGCGCAAAATCGCGGCGGATTGCGGCAGCTTCTTCGTGCCGTCGATCTCGAGCATAGGCACCTGTCCGAAGGCCAGCGTCCCATTCTGCTTCATCTCCATGAACTCGGAACGGTCCTTGAAGCGATAATCATCCAGCTCGAGGCCGACGTACTTGCACAGGAGCCGGATTGCCTCGGCTTTACCTTGGATGTCAAAGTAGTACAGCTTGAGCTTCGGCTGCGCCTCATCGTGTGTCCGCTTCGGCATCGTGTTGCCGGCCGCAGTGACGTGGCCGTCGACCGTAGAAGAATTCTATGTCCAAGCCCGTCTCACAGCAGACTGGCTCCGTAGAAGAAGTGTTCCGCAGCCCGCCGGGCCTTGAGGTTAATGACTGCACTCCAAGCCTGGCATGACACTGGGCACGGGACTGGCGCGCACGGGCACTAACACAGAGGCACACCACGAGAATTTTACAACGAAAAGAAAAAAGAAACCCGCGTACAACCCTACTGCTACGTCACGTCGCTCGCACCCGCCGGTAGCGGCCTGCTCGCCGCCGCCGCCGCCGAGCCGGTTGCCGCCGCCGCCGCCGCCGCCGAGGAGGAGGAGGGGGAGGAGGAGGAGGAGGGCTCGAGCGCGGCCAGCGCCGCGCACCTCTGCCTCGCCAGCCGCCGCCGGTCACGGACCGTCGTGTTCTCGGCGTGGGCGAAGCGTGAGCAGAGGCAAGCGCGCGCAGAGAGCCGCACAGGCCCCGCCGCCGCCGCACGGGCGCTGCCCCGCCCGGTGCCGCTCTTGGGCCGCACGCACTCGGCGAGCGCGGCGCCGGCCAGCCCCTCGGCGAGGCAGCAGCAGAGCAGACCGCGCTGCGCCATGTGCTGCGGGGCGGTGGAGTAGCCTTTCCTGTCGCGCACCGTGCGCACGTGCCCGCTCACGATGACGGAGCGGGCGACGGCTTTGGCCAAGGCAATGTCCTCGCCGTTGCCGCGCGTGGCCAGCATCGTGGCCGTGTAGGTCTCGTCGAAGCGGGCCGTCACTGCACGGAGGCGCGAGCGCGAGATGGCGGCAAAGTTGGTCAGGACGATGCGGTCGGGGTGCGGAGCAGACAGGTCTTTGCGGCTGCGTCGGCGGGGGGATGGACGGGGCTGGGGCCTCGGCGGCCCACGAGGTCAGAGGTCCTCTCCCCCCGATCTTTCTTGTCGTGGTAGCCGCGCTCGCCGCAGAAGCGGACCTGCGAGCCGTGCAGCGCTGGCAGCGAGCCGCGGAGCAGCTCGCGCCGCACGCTGCACTGCAGCGCCTCCACGAGGGCGGCAGGCGACGGGTAGGGCATCACGTCGTCGTCCATGCTCACGATGATCTCGTTGCGCGCCTCGGCCGCGGTGAAGTAGCGCGACGCCGCGAAGAGCTCCGTCCGCGGCCCGAGCAGGTGCCTCACCGCGCCGCGTATCCGTTCCGCCGCCGCCGCGGACGAGGCCACTTTCTTCATCTGCGAAAATGGCGCCTTCTGCTGCGCGCCAAGCCCCGGGCCGGCGGTGAGCAGCCGGCGGCTCAGGTCGTCGAGCGCGGCGCGCTCGCTCCAGCTCAGGTTGCAGCCGTGGTTGATCACAATCTCCGAAGACGGGTGCGCCATGAACCGCTGCGAGAGGAGGAAGGCGATCAGGTGCCCGAGGTTGTTGTGACGCCCGCCGCCCATGTGCGGGATGACAATGGACAGCGGTGAGGGTTGGGTGCGGTTGAGGCCCCGGCACACGGCCGAGGCGTTGGGTTCCCAGAGCGCGACCCAGCCGTTCGGCATATACACCTGTGTGTGTGCTCCGTGCACGGCGTCTGACCAGCGATTTGCTTTTTTCTTTGTGAGCCTGTGTGTGCACCAGTCCGCGCCAGTCTGCGCCCTTGTCGTGCCAGTGTGCTGTGAGAGAGGCTTGTATCTTAAGAATTCTTTGTCTTCCTCCGCAGTTGACACTCTGACAAAGCGACAATGAGCACGCCTTCGTTGTTGATAATACAAACGGATGGTCCCTTGTCGCAGTCACACACACACGCGACACCGCACCGCGCCGCGCACACACGCCGACCGCCACGCCTAGGTGGGAAAGAGTCAAAGAGATGAGGAGATGGAGCAGCCCGAAGGACGAGCCTCAAACACGTATGGGAGGTTAAGTATCTCCTCTTTCCGCGTGTGATAAAAGCTGCGTGCTCCAACGTAGTCTCTTTTTTGGAGTCTTCTCGTCCGCACCGGTTGTTGTGTTCGGTGTGTACGGTGAGTGAAAAGCTGAAGGTCGCAGGCAGATGTTTGTATACCGAGGCGCAGGCGGTGCCCGTGCTAACATGACTTTCGTACACATCATGTTCATGCACATGCATGTGCACATGCAGAGAGTCTCTAGGTTGTGCGCTTGTGCCCGGTCCACACTCACTAAGTCACTAATGAGTACTCTCAGACCCACACGCGCACTCGTCGGAGGACGGATGCCGCGAGGCGCCAAAGAAACCCGACCTCGTGGGGCTGGTGCGCGGGGAAGCGGCCATCAAGCGGCTCCAGTCTGACCCTGGCGCTCCTCCGCCCCCGGCTGTCTTTGGTTGTGATCTCCGTGCGCACAGAGGCAGAGCCGTCGGCCTGCGGCACGATGGTGCGCTTCACTTGCACGCCCTGGGCGAAGCCGCTGCCCGCGCGAGGTGCACCCCCGGCGTCGGATCGCTCGCCGCCCCGTATGCTGCGAAGCATCTCCTCGAACGCCTGACGGTGCTCTCGCTCCCACTGCTCTCGTGCAAAGCCTCCCGAGTCCATGCCGCAGCCGCGGCGGAAGCCGCCCTCAGCGCTGGAGCCGCCCGCGCCTCCGCTGCAGGAGGCCTGGTCGTCGCCCAGAAGCGCGGCGTGCGCATCAGATGCCCGCTTGAACGCGACCTCTGCCTCGAAACGGTTGGACAGGTTGCGGTCGGGGTGATGCTTTAGAGCGGCTCGCCGGAAGGCTGCCTTGATCTCGGCTTTACTCGCGCCGCGTCGGAGGCCAAGAACCGCGTGCGGGTCGCTGCCGCTGCTGCAGAATCCGCGGACGCACGCCGCGCCCGCTCGCATACACACACACACACACACACTGCCTGGAGCACGGTCACACGCGCGAGCAATACCCGCGTACTAAAAGATTTTTTTCTCATCCCTCGCACGACACTAGCGATGCGCTCCCCGCTCCCGTTCCCCTGTGTCCCTGATCGTCCTACAAGATCCTGCTTGTGCAGGTGGGGACCCTGTCCTTCTCCCACCCCTCGTTTGGCGTGTCCGTTGTATTTATTTATTTCTCTCCAAATCTGCCCTCTAATCAACCGTAATCATTCGGGAAGTTGGTGGTATGAGCGAGTATGAGCGCCGGGGCCCCGTTTCCGCACTGCGGCGCGGTGCACGGTGCCTCCGGGGGCCCCCGCGCCCCCCCAGAGCCCCCAGTCTGGAGACTCCGAGTCTCCTCCCGAACCCTGCACAAAGATCGCAAGGGCGGGGTTCCTTTTTACCCATCTCAAAGTACATAGAGAGGTGTCCGTTTTTATTTATTTACCTAGCTGGCCCCCCCACACTCTGTGATTTAGTTTTGTTGCTGCTGTTTTGCCGCTGTTAACTCTCGATCGGCGCCGGTCCGATCTGCGGTAAATATTCTTCATCCGGCCTAAGCATCCGGCTCTTACATACATCAACAAAGAACCCTGCACAAAGATCGCACGGGCGGGGACCTGTTCCTTTTTACCCATCTCCCCTAGTAGAGGTGTCCGTTTTATTTATTCGGCCGTCGCCGCGATTCCCGTGCCGCCGCCACGGAAGGTGGCACGTGCTTTTGAGAAGCCCACTTTGCGGCCTTTGCCGCTTGCCCACCGCTTGGCTTCGTCGACGGGCGAGTGCCTTACCACACTCGCCTCGGCGTTACTCGAAGCTGCGAGCTCAGCTGCGGCCACAAGAGCGGCCTGCTTGGCACGCAGCTGCGTAATCGTCGGCCCGCGTGCGCGGCTCTTCACGGCCTGTGCCGGGGAGTTGGCGTTCACGCGCTCAATCATCATCGTCATGGCTGTGTGCGTGCTTCTCGCTCGTGCGTCCTTGGAAGTTGTGCGCCTCCTTCTCCTATGAGCTCGTGCCGTATGCCAGGTCGCCGCCTGTGTTTGGGTTTCTATGTTTGCGATTTGGAATTTGGTATTTGTCCAGCTCTTTGTTTATTTATTTAGTCCCGGGACTGGCGCGCACTTGCACTAACACAGGTACACCACGGGAGCCGCCTAAGCGACTCCTGCGAGGACGGCGAGGCACTTAGCTCCGTGCACTCGACCGCAAAGAATAAATAACGCAACGGCCCACAGGCCACAGGCACAGCGAGCGGAGCTGGGAATAGGACCGCCGCAAGCGGCGTGGCTAACTGTAGTGAGCGTCGGGCTGGTGGTTCGACACCGAGTTTGAAATGTCCGTTTCTCCACCGCTTCTCTTCACAGGAAAATCGTGTGAAGATAAGCGGAGAAAAACAGAACCCTTTTCTGCCTCGGCCGCTTAAGCCGTCGGTATGCCGAAAGCGTGCTATCCAAGTAGCACGCAGCCGGGTCCCGAAGGTGTCCCATCCCAAATTCGTGCCGTGGACAGACCAGATTCGTGGTCCCTTGGTCGACTACACCCGCCTTTGGACGGTAGCCCGACACAATACATCTGTCTATCTTTTTGGATTTTTGGCTCGTCTGGGTAGGGGTTTTGTATAAAGAAACCTCCTCACCACTGCGAACATAGTCTTGCTCGTAGGAGCCGTTCGTCTTTTGTTCGAGCATACGCGCGCCCTATCACCCCGTTGAGCACGTGTGCAGGGTATCCGAGCGCCGTGAACTCCCTGAGCTTGCTCGTCACGCTGAGCGCGAACCCCTCGTCATCGCTCGCCATAGCACTCACTTTGAGCAGGCATCCAACGACGATGCCCGCTTTCATCTTTGCGCATGTGAAGCTGTCCCAACGATGGTAGCGCCACACCCGAGGCTCTGCCTCGCAGCCCTCGTTCACGTTCTTGAGTCTCGTCCAGAAACCTCCGTTCGCGTCGAGCTCAAGAGTCGTCTCTAAAAAATGAGCGTTCTCGGCTGCCTCCAACTTCAAAGGCGCCCAGTAGCACTCAGAACGACGGAAATCCTCCCGGAAACGATCGACATCCCATGCGCCATCGTCTTTCGCAGTCACCGTGATCACATCGTCCATGTAGCGCACTAGCGCTTCATACGGAAACGCGCTTTCGCATCATCTTCGAGCGTTTGCATCCACTCGTGCTCCATCCACGCAAGAGTCCCTATCGCCAGCGGTGGCGAGAGCGCACTCCCCATTGGAATTCCGCGGGCCTGTTTCAGCAAACGTCCGTCATACGGCTTTACGTGATGACATAGCAGTTATCCAGATCGAAATCGATTACCTCGAGCATCGTCGAGAAGCTAATCGATGCGTGTCCCCACACTTCCCCCTCTTGTGCCCACGAGCACTTCTTCTTGCCTCTCTTCGGTACAAGTATTTTCGGGTCCTCTCCCGCGTCCGGTGGCAGGTTTTGGCGCACATTGCGTACTGTACATTTAGCTTACTGGGAGAAAAGGGAGAGGGGGTTGTGTTCTCTAGGCCCCTAAGGGCCCTACGCGCGGCGTGAGAGCTCGGAAGCGAGCTTTGCACGGCGATCGAGGATGGCGCGGTTCACCCCCTTCACCGAAGCGATGGAGATGCGTTCCGCGTGGTGTGTGACACAAACGAGAGGCGGGAGTGGGGAGGGTACGCGGTGCGGTCAACGCCCGAGCGTTGAGCCTTGCGCGCAAGGCGGTTGATCTTTGCAACTGCAGGCGGCGAGAAGCCGCCGCCGAATGTCTCGTGGAGAAGCAGGTTGAACTTGTTTCGTTTGGTGAAGATCCCATCATGGTAGTGGCCACGCTGTGACTTGACGTAGCCTTGGCCGGTGGCGTGGTCGAACGCCCGTTGACCACGGAACCCGCGTTGCTTGCAGCCCATGTTTGCAAGGCGGGCGCGCTCTTCGGTGTTGCCGAAGGCGAACTTGTCTCCAACGGAGCCGGGGGTGCCTCCGGTGGCGGTGCGGCCGACCCCAACGGGCAAGCCACCCCGGAGGGGCGTCCAAAGTTTGACCTCGCTGATTTCGTCTTTGCCCCCCGGGGGGCAATCGCTGATTTCGGTTTTGTAGCCCTCGTTGAACTGTTTGGTGAGTTCTGGTTTTTCGGCATCTCCCATAACGGGCCGGGAGACGGAGACGGCGTGGACACAATCGTACCAGGCGCGAAGTACGCCGTCGTGTGGGCGTCGGCGGGCGGCGTTGTTGAGGAACCAGTCGCCATGGTAGTCCTTTGCACCACCGTCTGTGTCCCCAAGCTCGAGTGCCCGCGTGACGGTCGAGCGGCACTGCGAGAGGTGAAGGCCGTTTCGGCGTTGAAGCTCGCCGATGAATATGTCGTCTGGAATGCATGTGGCATTGCTGCCGTCAAGTTTGGTGTCGAGCCACCGCCCCCGTAAGGCTGCGCAGTTGAGACGTAGCGGATGGACTCGCGGCAACGTATTTTGGTGTCGCCGGGCTGCCAGTTGGCTGCCGTGTAGTCGTCGAGGGCGCGCCACTCCTTCTGCAGGTCAAACCAGTTGCAGATAGTCTCGATGGCAGCAAGCGCCCGCGCGTGCGGGCTTCCTGATTTGCAAGTGCCATCGATGACTGATTCCGGTGTCGGAAGGGACTCAGAAGTGGGGAGGCTAACGCTCTTGGGGTAGAACTCAGAGATTTTGCCGCCGCGCAAGGTGTAGTAGATGTTGTCGTCGCGCGCGGCTCGGATGGAGGCCGCCTCGTCTCGTCTCGAGAGCGCGGCTCTGTAAGCGTTGACGGCGGCGTCTCGTGCACTGTACCCGCCGGAGCGCTCGGCTTCGGCGAGGTCCGGGCTGCAGGCCACAAGCTTTGACCAGCATTTGAGGAGGGAGGTGTAGTAGGCCTCGGCGGGGCCGCGCACGCCCGTGCGGCCCTCCCCCGTGTCGTTGGGCACGCCGACTGAGGTGACGCCCGTGTCGACGCCGGAGCCTCCGGTGATGGTAGGGAGCATCGCCTGACACCAGCCCAGGTCTTTGTATTTGGCAGGAGTATCCTGCCTCCGTGAGTAGTTCCCACGATTTGCGAATCCGGTTGCTCCCGTCGATGGCCGGGCCCTCGCTGATCTCTGGTGGCGTGACGGAGCAGATGTACTTCGTCTTTGGGCAGGCCTGACGGGTGATGAGGTTGTACTTGAGGTGTCCAACGTTCTGAATGCCCTCGGTGCATTCGAGCGTGTCGATGAAGTCGAGCGGACGGAGGTTTTTGGCGAGGCGTTTTCCAATCGCCTCCGAGGCAGCTCTCTCTCTCACATTGCGTAGAATATCCCTCATCGCCACCTGCATCGCTTCCTTCGGCATGCTGTCCATCCCGGGTTCGTGAGAATAAAAGTACGTGCCGTGATGTCGCTGGCGCTCACTGTCGGCGTACACGCGGCGTCCCCGGTGTGCAACCCATTCTGTGAGGACAAGACGCAGGCCTGGGATGCCAAGTGCACCTGGGGGGGCTGCAACGGCTGCACCGAGTGCTCTGCGCCGGTGTGCAAGCCGTTTTGTGAGGACAAGACGCAGGCCTGGGATGACAAGTGCACCTGGGGGGGCTGCAACGGCTGCACCGAGTGCTCTGCGCCGGTGTGCAAGCCGTTTTGTGAGGACAAGTCAAGACGCAGGCCTGGGATGACAAGTGCACCTGGGGGGGCTGCAACGGCTGCACCGAGTGCTCTGCGCCGGTGTGCAAGCCGTTTTGTGAGGACAAGTCAAGACGCAGGCCTGGGATGACAAGTGCACCTGGGGGGGCTGCAACGGCTGCTCCGACTAACGTCCCTCCGCCCCCTGCGCCGCCGCCATCGGCTCCCCCGCCGCCGCCATCTCCACCGTCCCTGCCGTATCCACCTGGTGTGCCGCCTGCTCCGCCGCCCTCGCCGCCTCCTGGCACCTTTGCCAACAAGCCCGGCCTGCAGATCGCGGTCGACCTGTGGTGCAGCGACGAGCCGGTCGCCCTGGCTGAGTATGGCAACATCTCGGACTGGGACGTGAGCCGCATCACCGACAACGTTCCACGATGAGATGTCCTTGTCGAAGGAGATGGCGCCGTAGAACATGCCGCTCATGTCGAGAACCGCAGACGTATTCCACGATGAGATGTCCTTGTTGAAGGCGGAGGCGCCGTAGAACATGTCGCTCATGTCGAGAACCGCAGACGTGTTCCACGATGAGATGTCCTTGTCGAAGGAGATGGCGCCGTAGAACATGTAGCCCATGTAGAGAACCGCAGACGTGTCCCACGAGTTGAGGTCCTTGTTGAAGGCGGAGGCGCCCTCGAACATGTAGCTCATGTCGAGAACCGCAGACGTGTCCCACGAGTTGAGGTCCTTGTTGAAGGCGGAGGCGCCCTCGAACATGTAGCTCATGTCGAGAACCGCAGACGTGTTCCACGATGAGATGTCCTTGTCGAAGGAGGAGGCGCCGTAGAACATGGCGTCCATGGTGGTGACAGCCGACGTGACCCACGACCCAATGTCGGGGTTGCACGTGCTCTTACCGGTCGTGGAGCCGCCGAACCAAGCGCTAAACAGAGACTGCAACGTGGCGGCGGTGGCGATATGGGGCACGGACGACATGTTCGAGGTCGCCACCTCCCTCAGCGACTGCAACAAGGCACTCATGTACGCCAGCTTCACCGCACAGACGAGCGAATGGCCCTACTCGTGGAACTTGCTTGCGTGCCCTCCCTCGCCGCCGGCCTCGCCGCCTGCATCGCCACCCTCCCCCCCTCCCCCCCAGCGGTGTGCAAGCCGTTTTGTGAGGACAAGACGCAGGCCTGGGATGCCAAGTGCACCTGGGGCGGCTGCAACGGCTGCACCGAGTGCTGAGGACTGGCGCGCACTGGCACTAACAGAAAGCGCGAGTAAAATCCCTGTGTGGTGGCGGCGTGCCGTCCTCCCCTCCCCCCCTCAGATATCTTTACTTTTTTCTGTTTTCTTTCTCCAGGTCCCCGCCCATATGTGCCGGTAAAGCTTTCAATCTAAAGAATTTTACAGCAACTCCCTCTCACGACACTAGGCACGGGACCGCGCACTGGCTCTAAGAAAAGTGCTCACTTTCTGCTCGCTTTATTCTCCTATGTGCCGGCGTGCCGGGTGCGACCTGCGACCCCGGGGTGGCCCGGGTGTGGGGAGTGGGGCCCCGCTTTGTGTCCCTCTAGGTAGATCTATTTTGGAAAGCCACGCCCTTTTCTCACAACGAGCGCGGCCGCAGTGTCAAATCACACACGGATTTGTGGCTTTCCCCTGGGGGAGAGAGATCGTTTGCCGCTGCGGCATTGACGTTCCAGTGTCGTGCTTTCTCCACGGTGCGCACGGAGTCGATCGACCCACAGGAGGGGCCGGAGGAAACGTTTCGCGCGTGCTCGTCAGCACATGCCGCACCCCCCGCCGTCGTCGGAGTCCAGTTGCTGCGGCAGCGCGGTGGCGCGACCGCCGGCGTCGGCGAGGAGCTCAGGGGTGTCGAGCACCTACTCGCAGTCTCGCACGGTGTGGACGAGAGTGCGCGCGCGCGTGTGCGCGCGTGAAAGCCGAGGACAGGTGCCTTTTGGACGATCTCGTCGAAGGCCTACGGTTTGTCGTGGGGTGAGAGCGAGGACCGAGGGCCGCGGGCCGAGGGCGAGGCGCGCGCGAGGCCTGCAGGATGCCGGAGCGCGTCTTTGCGCTCGTCTCAATGTACATGGTCGCCTGCTGTCGCGCGAAGGCCTGCGCCTCCTCGACCGTCACCTTTGCACGATGTGGTGGTTGGCACAGAAGGAGTGCAACGGCAAGGGGCGTGGGGCGGCTCTACAAGTAGCACCTCCCGCGCGTCGAGGTCGACCTTGTTGCCAACGAGCAGCTTGGCCGCCGCCGCACTCGTCGCATACCTAAAACGCCGCGAAACGCGTCACGGTGCCCCCTCCGCTCCAGCTCGCCCCCCCGGCGTGGCGCACAGCTCAAACTCGTCGAGCCATGTGCGCAGGTGCTCGAACGAGGGCCGATCATTGACGTCGAAGACGAGGATGATGCCGTGGCAGCCTACTACTCCGCGGCGCGCCGTCAATTCGGGCCCTCCCAGTTGCGGAGAGCGACTCGGAGGGTGCAGGCGCCGCGGTAATATGACGATGTCAGGGTGCGGAAGCGTTCCTGGCCGGCGGTGTCCCAGATGGTCAGCTTGAGCGTCTTGCCGCGCATGTGCACCGTTTTGACCTTGAAGTCGACGCCGATCGTCGAGGCGAGGTGCTCCTCGAATGCGTCGTCGGTGAAGCGCAGCAAAATTGAAGACTTGCCAACGCCGGCGTCGCCGATCAGCAGGATCTTGAAGATGTGGTCGTAATGTCCCTGCATGGTGATTTTCAGCTCTCGCCCTGCCAGCCTGCCAGTCGCTGGCTTGGACGGGGTGAAGAAAGAAAAGAGGATGCGTCGCACACGGCTGGCGCAAAGAATTTGCAAACGCCGCACAGCACGATAAAGAAAAGATACACTCAGGTCCCCGGCCCTGGATGTGCGGTTAATGACTGCACTCCAAGTGCTCCAAATGTTTACAGCAAAACTCTCTCTCATCACGACACTAACAAAAGAATTCTGCGCAGTTCAAAAGAATTGGGAGAGCTAGTCTGCACTCTTGCCTTGCTGGTTTTATAAACTCTGCTTGCGACCTTCAGCTTCTCTCACAACAATCGGCCCGCGCGCGCGCACACCCCCGAGACACGCGCCCCCTCTCCTCCAGCAGCCAGCAGCAGCAGCACCCAGGCGGCCTCTCCACCAGGCGCACCACACCCTCGCCCACAGGGATCTACAATGCGCTGTCTTAAGGTCCGACCTGCGGGCACCGCCTGCGCTCGGCACCGGGCACACCGCCTCGGCATACAAAATGCGCCTACCTACGGGCGGACCACCCTAACAAATCACGCAGACGTCACAAATCGCGACGACACGGGCGTCACACGTCTCGCGACATATTACTGCAACCTGGGGTGGATATTTTTTTACAAGCCGGGGGTATTCCCCGCCAAATACCAAATTACCCGGCATTTTGCCGATTTTGCTGATTTTACAACAAACGTGTGCTCTCTCTCTCTGATACTGATTTTGGCTCCAGACCCTCAGACTCAGAGCCCGAAACATGATGTTGATGATTTCCACGCGAGTTTTGCTTGAGAATCTAGTAGTAGAGAGGAAACGAGAGGGTACTGTAAGGAAACTGTAGAGAAACAAAGAAACGAATATAGACAGGGCAGAGGAAACTTGTATACAGACAGCCAGGTTGAGAGAGCAGGACCGGCGCCCCGGCCGACATCGCTCAGGCGCGCTTCGAGACGCACCGTTTGTGCGGGGCGGCGGCACGTGTCGCCGCGCCCACCCCAGGTTGGCTAAACAAAATTTCTCAGATTCTACCTACGACCGATACGGCTTCCGAGTATGACTCCGCGAGCCCGACTATTCCGACAGCGCGGCATCGGTGGCAGGGGTTCTACACGATGCAGTGCAGGCGGCCGTGATGCAATGCGGCTATGACGACGAGCTCTTCCCAGGTCCTTGACAATCTAGAGAAACTGTAGGGGAAAGGGGAACAAGGAAACGAACTGCGACAGGGGCCCCCGGGGCAGGGTTGTGCGCGAAGAAACATGCATGGATGGATGGATGTAGAGACAACCTCTGTTGGGTTTTATTTATACCTCCGCTTTCCTACTTAGAGATCTCTCCTGAATTTCTCTTCCAAATTTCACACGCAGGGTAAATAGGTAAAGGTAGGTCTTGAGCACTGAGCACTGGATAGGGTCGATTCCGCGTGGTACGGGACCCCTCGATCGTCTCGCCCTCCCTCACTGGTGTGTTCATCGGGGGGGGGGCGTCATAACAAACACGGTACAGGATCGAGGTGCACACTGCCGAAACAGTGTCGTCCCCTACTCTCCATCATCTCACCGGGAGACGTCGGCGGTGATGGCGGTGTGACCGATCGAGCTACAAGGGGAGCTTGGTCAGCATGATCAGGTGAGGCCCTAGCGCACTACCTCACTGGGCCTGAGATCGCTTGAACACGCACCACCGTCACCTTCGGCTTGCGTGGATTCGAACCACCACCGGAATGGGCAACCAAGCCCATCGCTCTGTGAACTGCCCCGTTAGGTAGGTCTAGGTAGGTAGGGGTAATCTAGGGTAGGGGGTGTGGAAAGGCTTAGAATTTTACAACAAAGCTCCCTCGCACGACACTGGGCACGGGACTGGCGCGCACTGGCACTAACACAAGGCTTAGAAACGGCGGCGTGCCGCGCAATCCTGTTTTCTTAATGCCCGCAACCCACTGTACCCCCGTGCTCAGGTGTGCTCAATCAAGAGGGTGGAGCACTTGGAGGGTGGTTTGCTGGATTCGGTGCTCCGTTCTGGCACTCGAGTTCTGGCACTCTCGAGTTTCCCTAACGCCTGAGCCTGAGAGCTGGTCTGGGGCAAAATCCCGGGTATTTTCCAGGTATACACGGTTTTTTCAGGTATGCCCGCAAAAGATACAGTCGCTATTGCTGATTTTGGCCCCAAACCACCCTCAGACTCGCGGCTCAGAGCCCGAAACACATCTCGACGTACGACGATTTCCACGCGAGTTTCCTTGAGAATCTGGTCCGGGGAAACCTCTACGGTCAAAACGAGAGGGTGCTGCAAGGAAACTGCAGGGACATGGAAACGAAACGAGACAGGGCAGAGGGTCGTGCGCGAAGAAACATGGATGGATGGAGAGAGAGAGAGAGAGTTTTGAAAACCAACAAGAAATCACGTCTCTCACACAGTGATTTGGGCTCGGCAGCTTGTCAGCCCTCAGCCGAAGCTGGGGCCGGTCCCGCAGTCGAGAGACACGAGAGAGCCCGCGTCGATGAGTTCGGCGCGGTCGGGAGGCCTTGCGGAGAGACCAGCGAGTTGGCGATCGCTGTACCGGTTCTTTCTGGATGGATGGATGGAGACAGCCTGTGTTGGGGTTTAGTTCCTCCGCTTTTCCTGCGAGCCTAGAGATTTCCATGTATGTGGCTCTTACGTACATTCCCGGAGGAGGACTATTTCTGCATTTCTCCGGAATGTCTCTTTCAAGTTTCATATACGTAGGGTACGTCGGTAGGTCTAGGTAGGTGGTAGGGGTAGGGACTAGGGTGGGACCCGCCGGGGCTTATTGGAGAATTTGGTCACCCACAGGGCCGGCCAAGCGAAAAGTAAACCCTTACCATCAAAGAGGGAGATCACACCTCACAAAAAGTTCTCTCTGTAAGAGCAAGGGTCTTTGGAAGGACGAACAGGGGCCCGCCGTGAAGGGATCCTGGACGGCCCGGGGCAGCCAGCTTTTCTTTCTCTCGGGGCCCAAGAGAGCAAAGCGCAGGCTCTGCCTCTGCAGACGCGACCTCTTGAGGCGAGCGCGCATGGTCGAGGAGAGGAATGCGGACTCTTCGCTGTCCGCCGCGCAGCAGAACCTAGGCGAGGTGCGCTTCCCGGTCTCAAAGGGCCTCGCCGATGCCGCCGCCGCGCTGCGGACGCAGGGCGTGCCCCAGCGGGGGGGGCCTGCGCAGTGCGCCGTCCTCCCGGGCCTGGCCGAGGTGGCCCGGCAGCGGCAGCCGCCAGCGCTGCACGCAGGCGCCGCAGGCGGCTTGCAGCACCCCGCAGCGCTGCAGCCTTCGCTTCCCCTCGGCGCGGCGCCGATGCACGCGAGGGCGGGGGTGCTGTCCGGCGTGTCTCCCGGCGTCGCCTTCCAGGCGCGCGGCCCGACGCCAGCCCACCGCCTGGCGGGTGTCGGCGCTCCGCCGCGCGCGCTTGGCCATCCCGTGCTCCTTCCCCCCGGCGCGCCATCCCCGATGCTCGCCATGGCGAGGCCAGACGCGGCCGCCGCCGCGTCCGAGCAGGGCGGCCTCGTTTGCGTCTCCTCCTCACGGGAGGCGCCGCAGGCGATTGCGCACGCAATGCCATGGGGGGGGCTGCCTCAGGGCATGGCGCAGCGGCCGTTTGTGCCACCGCCGCAGGGCACGCCGCAGGCTCTCGCGCAGGCCATGGTGCAGTCGCAGATGCCAAACACGCCGCAGGCTCTCACGCAGGCCATGGCGTGTTCGCAGATGCCGAACCTCATGCGGCAGATCCCGCCGCGGATGCCGCAGCTGCCGCATGGGGCAATGCCGCTCTCCCGCACGATGCCCGTGCTCCCGCAGCAGCGCAGCTTCCCGGGCTCCGGCTCTGCGTCGCCGCGGGTGATGTCCAGCGCGGCGGGCGAACCGCGGTCGCCGGCAGCTGCATGGCCATCCGGCTGCCAAGTGGAGGTGCGGTGCGACTCGGACGCCTGCCTGCTCGGCGCGTGGGCCGAGGCCGAGGTGCTCTCTGCACAGGGCGGGCTGGTGCGTGTGCGGCTGCGCTGCCTCGCCCTCGAGGGGGAAGAGCGCACGCTGCGGGCGTCCGTGGTGCGCCAGCGGCCCCGGCCCGAGGCCGTCTCCTGGTCGGTCGGCGACTTGGTCGAGGCGCGCGTCGGCGGCGTCTGGCGCGAGGCGGAGGTGTTGCAGCTGCCTCCCAACCCCCCAAACGGCGCCACCAACGGCATTCGCCTGGTGCTCGTCAAGCTGCACGCCAACCGGTTGTGGCTCGACTGGGCAGCCCTCCGCCGGCGCGGGCAGCCGCTGCGAGACGCCAACGGTGTCAGCGGTGCCAACCCGCCGATCGGCAAGAGCAGCGAGCCGGTGGGCCTCGGGCGCAAGCGCGACCGCTCCCGCGAGCGCAGCTCGCGCCGCCCGACGGGGGCCAGCGACCGCTCGCTGCGGCCACACCAGCGAGGCGCGTCGCTGGCGCAGCAGCTGTCGGGCCAGGCACAGGAGGCGGCCACGCCGGCGATCTCGTCCCGGAGCGCGTCCACGGAGCGGGTGCCCTTTCGCCGCTCGAGCTCGAGCCTCGACGGCCTTCGCGCCGATTTCTTGCAGCCGGCGACGTCCGGCGACGAGCGGCTCCGATGGAAGCTCCCCCCGGGGGTGTCGGGCGGCCAGACGCTGCTCATCAGCGTGCGGAGGCCGCCCGAGCTGGTCGAGGTTGAGGTCCCGCCGGGCGCCCCGCCGGGTGCAACGTTGCTCGCCCACACCTCGCTTGGCCACGACGTGCATGTGCAGACTCCGCTCGGCGCGCCGGCCGGCGCGCGGTTGCTGGTCGAGGTGCCGCTGCCTCCGCAGGGTTTGCACGTCAAGCTGCCGTCGACCGCGCGGGCGGGAAGCACAATCACAATCACCCTTCCGCGGCCTGTGGCCGGCGGCGCCCCCGAAGCGGAGGTTGCACCGGCCGCCCCACGCAGCAAGGGGGAGAGGTCGCTCAAGCGCGGCGGCAACGCGGGCGACGCGGCCAGGAAGGTTCGTCGCCTGTCGTCGCACGACACGCTGCTGCTCGAGATGGCGGACGAGGCACAGGCGGCGCTGCGGGTGTTCCGACCGGGTAGCAGCGCGCCCTCTGCCGCGCCGCCGCACGAGCAGGAGCACTTGGGCGAGCTGCACTCGTCGCCCGAGTGGCTCGAGGCGTGGCTGCTCTGCTCTGTCGTGCTCCCTCGGCTGCACGTGCCGGTGCCCACGCTGGCCGAGCTCGAAGAGTGGGTGTGCGCCGCGCCTTGCCTGCACGTCGTCGGCGCAGTCGATTTCGCGGGGGGGCCGCCGCTGCCGCCGACCCGCACGGCCGTGGTGAGACCCGACGCGCTCGGCGCGCTGCACGCAGAGCTCCTCGTGGCGCTACTAACGGAGGGCGTCCCGGCAGGCCCGGCCGGAGCCGGGGAGGCTGTATGCCGATTGGCCGACGGCGGCGAGACGGCGGCTTGGCTGCGGCGCGACGGTTGGATGCACGGGCTCTGCACCGCCTTGCGCGCGGGGGTCTGGGCCAAGACGTACCCAGACACGGCCTGCCCGTTTGTCGCAAGCGCCGCAGCAGTCCCGCCTCCGCTCGAGCGCATTTCCTCAGCAGAGGACAAGGTGTGCCGGCCCGGCGAGCGCCACCGCCAGCCGCAACACGTCTCAGTCTCTCGCCATCACCCTTCTGTAGGCGAAGGGCTCCAAGTTTGGCCAGTGGGTGACCGAGATTGGACCGCCCATCTGCGGCACATTCGGTTGCGTGCTTCCCAACAACCACGCCGGGCTACACCAGCTTCCCAACAGCGGGCCGCGGGGCGGGCGCTTGCGGCGAGAGGCGAGCGCAGACTCCACTTGTGCCAAGGTGCCAGAGGCGCTCTCGCCAACCCCAGCCAATCCTCCGCCTGCGGAGGGGATCAACGCGCAGCTCGCAGTGGATCCGGCCCTCTTGTCTGCGGCCGAGGCGCTCGCTGCGGCAGCCGCCGCCCCGACGGACGAGGCGCGCTCCGCCGGGCTGCTGCCGTACGCGCAGGCGCGGCCGCTCCACCGCGTGCTGGCGTTGCGCGCACTCTTGCTCGCGCTCGTCTCGCCCGCTGAGCGGAGGAAGGTGCGCACGGCCGCGCTCCGCTGCCACCTCGGCTCTTGCTTCGACGCCGACTATTGGGCGGTGACGTCGGCCTCTCGCGTGTACCGTTGCACCAAGCCGGGAGGGGCGCAGCAGACCGGCGAGCTGCCCATGGGCTGCCGGTGGGAGGCGGTGTGCTTGGAGCGCGAGGACTTCGCCACCTTCTGCAGCACGCTCGCCCGCTGCTGCGTCACGCCGCCCGAGCTGAGCCAGGCCGGCGCTTCGCGCCCGCAAACGGCTTGCCTCGCGATGCTGGGTCGGCTGCGAGACAGACTCCCCGCGGCTGAGCACGGTCTGCTCGAACCGCCGCCGTTGCCCACGCCGGTGGCAGCATCCGAGCCGCGGCACGAGGCGAGGCCCGCCCCGGCCGCTCGGGCAGGCTGCCACGACGTGGCCGAGCGACGCGACCGCGATTCGGAGCGAAAACGGGAGAGGAGCGGCAGCAGCAGGCGGGAGGCGCGAGGCGAGCATGGGGCGGGGCCATTGGCGGCGAGACCCGAGGCTAGCGGCAACGGGGCGGAGCAGCTCGGCGACTCGTTGCCACGGGACGGCGCGAGCGCACTTGTGGAGCGGCCGCCCTCACCGCCGCACGTCCGCGTGCAGCTCTACGCGCGGAGGGTGCCCGTGGGGCACAGGCAGCTCGACGTGCGCGCGTGCCTCAAGCTGAGCATCCCGCGGCAGCGCAAGCTCTCCAGCACGCTCCGCTTTCACCAGCAGGAGGCGGGCCCGCAGCATTGGCACGACCCTCGCCACCACAAGCTGTCGGCGACGTCTCCACCGGCGCCGGGCTCCGCCGCGCTGGCAGCCGGGCAGCCCGGGGCGGTGCTTCTGAACGAGGAGGCGGACGCTGCCGCCGGCGTGCTACCACAAAAGCGGGCGGCGCGCCACGGCAAGGTTGCGGATCGAGTTTTGGCGCGCGCCATCGGGGCCGGGGGAGAGCCACAGTACTTGGTGGCGTGGAAGGGGCAGGCGGAGAGCGACAGCACTTGGGAGGCGTGGTCTTCGCTGGAGAATGTGCGCTCCCCACCAACCGCCCGCCCGCCCGCCCGCCCGCCCACCACCCCCCTCGCCACCTGACCACCTCACCACCTCATCACCTCATCACCTCAACACCGGCCCCCGCCGCCTCCCCGCAGTGCGACAGCCTCATCCGACAGCTCCACGCGGCGGAGCTTGCGAGCGGCAAGCTGCTTCCGCACTGGTCGCCCGCGTGCCCAGAAAAGTTCGACTCCGACCCCGAGCTGCCCGGCTGGCGCATTCTGGCGCGGCGCACGCAATCGGGGCGCGAGACGAAGACCTATTACGGCCCGTTGGGCGAGCACGCGCGCTCGAAGACAGTCGCCGTGCAGCTCTCCAAGCTGTACGACTTGCCCGCGCTTACGGCTTGAGCCAGCGCTGCTGCCGCCGCTGTATAGCGTCTTGCGCGCTATACATGATCGTTGCGGCCCACGGTGGGTCGCCCCTTGTTGCTCTCCCCGCGACTGGACCGGAACACCCTCTGGCTCCGGTTCCGGCCAAGGTCTCCCCGGCCGCGACCCTCCCCTTACTGCTGGTTGCCTACCGTACTCTTTGCCAAAGGCTGTCTTTGTGTTTTTCTTCAAGGTTCCTTTAGAGGAGGTGGGGGGCTGGTCAGGTCGTATGTACGTTAAATCTGACCCTCGCTCGAGCTGGGAGAGTGGGACGGTAGTACATTCTCGATATGTGGAAACTGGAATGCGTGCCGGGCTTCCGGCTTGCGCGCTACCTTGGCGCGCGCGCGGCTCTTGCCGGGGCCGTTTTGTTTTATGCTGCACCCCATCCTGGCGGCCCGACAAGCGACGACACGCGCGCTAAAGAAACAACATCCGGCTCACCCCCCCCCCCCCCCCGGAACTATGGCGGTGGCCTCGCGAAACATTAAGAGGGAGACAGAGAGACGCTAGGGCGGCCCGATTTTGCACGAAGAACGGGCCAGGCGGCAGCCGGGAGATTGATCCACTGCTCTGACTTCGAGGTGTCACGTGTGGGCGGCGCGAACCGGGGGGCCCTCGCTAGCACATGATGTAGGTCTCCGTGTCGCTCCCACCTCGGCACTCGTACGATCCGTCCCAAGGGGTGTCCTTGGTCGGAGCATACTTGCACGGCATCGCAAAGTCATCCTGTTGAATGTAAACGTCCATGCAGGCTGCTTGATCGTCCTCGCTATACGCTTGGTCCTCGGCCCAACCCAGCTGCTGGCCGCACCAGTCGCCGTTGGTGACCGGGGAGTTGTAAATTGTGAAGGCGGGGACGCCACAGACGTCGTTGCGGAGCGTGTACTTTTGAGTCGAGGTAATGCAGTGCTTGCCGTACGTTGTCTGGCTCGGGTTGACGGAATCAAACTCCACTTCCACGCAGACCGTGCCGGAGCAGCAGTCGTCATCGGCGAGGCACGGGTCGCCGCCAATCCCGGGCGCGATGCATCCGACGCCACCAAGTGGGGGTTCGGGGGTTGGCGTCGGTGTCGGCGTCACATCGGGAGCCGGCGTCGGCGTCGGGAGAGGGGTCGGCTCTGGTGTCGGGAGAGGGGTCGGCTCTGGTGTCGGATCTGGTGTCGGCTCTGGGGCTGGTGTTGGAGCAAAGGCAACCACAGCCACTGCGGCGGCAAGCATCAGCACCCTTTTCATGGCGAAGATCGTCCTGCCGCGAGTGCGAACGGCGCGTCAGTGTGGTGGGGGTGGTGGGTTTTGCAGAGATACACCTGCCCGCGGAGCGCGGGAGCCCCCCCCCTTGCCCCCCCCCCTTGCCCCCCCCCCCCCTTCCCTCGCGCCGCCTTGTCGCGCGCTCACCGAAGTCACCGCGCCCGCTGAGCTGTCGGCTTCCGTTTTCGGTTTCAATCATAGCGAAACTCTCACGGCGGGCACCTTGAGCACTTGAGCACTGGATAGGGTCGATTCCGCATGGTACGGGACCCCTCGATCGTCTCGCCCTCCCCTAGGCCCTCCCTCACTGGTGTGTTCATGGGGGGGGCGTCTAACAAACTCGATACAGGATCGAGGTGCACGCTGCCAAAGCAGTGACGCCCCCCCTCTCCAACTCCATCATCTCACAGTGAGACGTCGGCGGCGATGGCGGTGTGACCGATCGAGCTACAAGTAACAAGAGGTGCACTTAGCTCCGTTCACAAACTACAACACACAAGAGAAGAAAAGAATTCTTAAAAAACAAGCCTTCTCACAGGCACAAGAGAAGAAAAGAAACCCGCGCGGACCGCGGCGGCGCCCCCACCTCTCATGATGGCGAGCGATGAGAAGCTGCTGAAGCAGAAAGCGCTGCCAGAGTGGCAGATGCAGGAGCTGCGCGAGGCCTTCGACTTGTTTGACACGGACGGCTCCGGCATGATTGAGACCAAGGAGCTGCAGGTCGCGCTGCGCGCGCTCGGCTTTGACTCGAAGAAGGACAAGGTGCGGAAGATGATCGCCGACATCGACCTGGACGGCTCAGGCACCATCGACTTTAACGAGTTTGTCGAGATGATGACTGGCAAGATGGGAGACCGTGACTCTCCGGAGGAGCTTAGCCGCGTCTTTAAACTGTTTGATGACGACGAGACGGGCGCGCTGCCCGCGCTCTTGCGCCACTCAGCCTCCCACACCCGCGCCGACCCGCTCACGGCCCCGCAGGCAAGATAACGTTCCACAACCTGAAGCGCGTTGCGCGCGAACTCGGCGAAAACATGACGGATGATGAGCTTCGGGAGATGATTAACCGGGCGGACGTTGATGGCGACGGCGAGGAGCGCGCAACGCGCTGCCCATCGCCCCGCCGCGCTCCCGGCTCAGCCGCTCGCGCCTTCCTTGCTCAGGTGAGCCGGGAGGAGTTTGTCCGGATCATGACATATAAGGTGCAGGCTGTGGCGACGAGGTGCGCCTGGCTTGGGATTCACAGTAGGGTCTCGCTCGTCTTTAGGCAGGCTTGTGAGTTCCTGTCTCCGTTCTCGGCGATGGGTGGGCGAGCGGCGAGGGCACCTCCTCTATCCAGGGCGGCACAGCCACAGGCGGGCCCCACGTATTTGACAAACGGATTCAAACAAATGTCAAATCTCTTTTCACTTCTTTGCACTTTGGGCGAGGCAAGAAAGAGAATTCTTAAAATGCAAAAGCCTCTCTCACAGCACACTGGCACGACGAGGGCGCGGACTGGCGCGGACTGGCACACACACCGGCTCACCGTAAGAAAGAAGAATTCACTTTTCTGTTCTTTTTCTTTCTTTTCTGGCACAACAAGCGGGCGCGGGACTGGCGCGGACTGGCACACACACTGGCACACCTAGAAAACAAGAATTCGGGGTGCACTCCTGAGACGAACAAAATGCACTCGGGCACAGGGAACAGCAGTTAACACGTGCGACGTGGTTCTCGCGCGGCGTTTTTATCTTTTCTTTTTCCAGTTGTAAAATCGTTCTTTTTCCATACCAGTTTCACAGTGTACCTTCGCGCTCCAACGCCAGTGCTTCCCTGCCTGCGCTCCGGGCGCCGACAGAGCTCAGAGGGACCACAGACTACCCGTCACGTGCCCAGACACACAATCATTGTTAGTCGGCATCTGTTGGCAAGAGTGAAGTATCTGCGACTGCAGTGACGGTGGCGACTACCGCGTCAGCTCGCGCCGCCTCGACAGTAGCGGCCGTGACCGTGGCCACCGTGGCCACCGTGGCGAGAGGGGCGGCGAGCTTGTCGGCGGCAGTGACGAGCGCGTAGCACGACTCCATGCCCGGCACCGCCCGCCAGCAGGGGGATGGCTTCTTGAGCTCCTGTTCAAGGCGAGGCGGCGTGAAAGCAACATCCGACCCTCACCTCGGCTAACATCACGGGTATGTCGTCTATGACTCGCCTTGCCGAGGAGGGTGACCACGCTCTTGCGGCTAACCTGGCCTTGGAAGCCCTCCTCGATGGCCAGCGCCTCGACCCGTGCCACCAGCGCCCCCCGCTCCACCACCTCCCCTCCCAACGCCTCCATGGCAGCCACGACAAGCCCGCGCAAGCTCGCACCCCGGCCTCCGCCCCCGCCCCCACCGCCCCCGCCCCCACCGCCGTCGCCGCCGCCGCCGCTGCCGCCTGCATTGTCTCCCGTCAACACAGCCCCGGCCCACGCCCCAGCAGATTCGCGCACCGGCCGCCCGCTCGCCCACATCGCGAGCGGCGTGGGTGTCGCCGCCGCCTCCGCGCCCACCATGCCCTCCTTCACAGCGGCACTCGCCGGATCCATGGGCTGCGGCGCGGCCTTCCGCTGCCGGGGCGGGGCGGCGGCGCGCCTCTGCCAAACCCCACCCTTCCAGGTCAGGGGTGGCCGCAACCGCTCGGCTCCGACGACATGCTCGGCGTCGAACCGCCGTGAGCGGACGACGTATTGCACCGGCGGAGAGGCCGCAGAAGCCGCAGGGGCGGCTGCAAGGCTAGCAGCCACATCCCCAAGCAAAGGAGCTCCGGCGGCAGCGGCGGCGGCGGCGGCGGCCGCGGCGCCTGGCGACGCAAGTTCCACCTCCGCGGTGTCGGAAGTCGCACCGAACGGAGCTGCGTCGGGGGCGTCGGGAGTAGCGGCGACAGTGGCGGTAGCATCAGCAGCAGCGTCAACTGGTCGGGTGGGCTCCAGCCGGACCACCTCGACGTCCCACCAGCCGCCCTCGTACTCCAGATCCGCGGGCGCGCCTATCGCCCACACATCACAGGCTGTCCGGTCTCGCGCCCGTCTCCCACGGAAGAGTTGGCGGGCGAGCGCCGGGCTGCACCCCCGCCAGCCACTCCTCCTTGGCCGCCTCGCCCGCCTGCTCCGGCGGCGGAATCGGGCGCGCGAACCGCAGGCTCTCCGTGCCAACGTACGGCTGAGGGTCGCCGTCCTCCGCCTCCGAGTCGACGTCGCGCAACTCATCGTATTCGACGACGACCTTGTCCGGGTACTCGTGATCGATGACGCGCCCCGCAAACCAGGCGCCCTCGAACCCCTCGTCGCGCTGCACCACTTCGACCTGGGAGCCAACCTACTCGCGGCGAGAAGTGTGAAGGGGCGCACTCGTCGCTGCACCCCTTCCAGCCGTGGAGCGCGCCCCCCACGCCGCAACCATCTGTGCGTGAGTCGTGTCGCCTTGCGCTGTGCGCGGCTCGGGAACCCGCTCTTGCACCCCCCTCCACCGCCCCGCCCAGCGGCCGCCCTTCCACAGCCAACCAGGCCGCAACCGCGCCGTCGGCACGTCGTAGACACCCTCTCCCTCGGCGGCGGCTGTGCGTAGCCGCACCGTGAAGACTGCCTCGGCCTCCGTCGCCGCCGCTGCGTCCGCACCGCTTCCCTCGCCTCCCTCGCCTCCCGCCTCGCCCCCGCCCTCGCCTTCCCCCGCTCCACCTTTTGCCCACGCGCTGCCCGCCCCACCGAGCAGCTCCACCTCCCACCACCCGCCCTCGAAGCGCAGCTCGAGCGCCGTGCCGTAAGCGCCACGCAGCTGTCTCTCCAGCTCAGCGGACGGCGGCGGCGGCGGCGGCAGTGGCCGCAGCGCCTCGAGCGGGAGGAGGACCCCCGTCGTCTTGCTGGCATCGGCCCCAGCGCTGCTGGGGGCGGCAGATGTGCGGTCGAAGAGCACCCTCGCGCGCCCCTTCTCTGGCACGTCAATGACGCTGCCCGCGAACCACGAACCGTCGTGTGACCCTTCTCCGTCGAGAGGCCCCTCCACGCGGCCGCCGACCGGCAATCCCTTCCGTGCCGCCGCCACCGCCCACGACTCCTTGCGCGCCGCCGAGGCGGGGCTCGTCAGAGCAGCGTCGCGCCTCGAAGCAGCCTCCGCCTCCCGCCGTCGCCTCTTGTCCTCCCGCCGCGACAGTCGCTCTTCCTCCCGCAGCCGCCGCTTCAGCTCGTTCTCCTCCAGCTTGGCACTCCGCCGCGCCTCCGCCACCTCCGCCTTGAGCGCCTGCTTTCTCGCCTCCACTGCGGCCTCGAGCTCCGCCAGGGCCGCCGCGTTGGCCACTTGGCAGAACTGCAACGCCTTCACAAGGGCATCCCGCTGCGGCTGCTCGCTCTCTTGGGCCGCTAGTCCCATGCAGGTGTCGAGCGCGAGAGTTTTACGTTCCGGCGCAGCCGCCACGTCGCCCGCTGCGTCAACCCTGAGCTCGCGCTCTCTCTCTTCAAGCTGTGCGCCGTGCTCCTCTGCCATGCCAGCGGTTCGGCGGACGCTGTTATTCGACGCTGTCGTCGACGCTGTCGTCGCTCACCCGACGCGGGCGTCGAGCAACAGAAAGCCGTCGGCGGGCGGACGTGCCAGCACAGGGGGGGGGGGGGGGGCGGTTCTCCTTGAAACGATATCGGTGTCGAAGCACCGCTCTGACAGCGCTCACAGCTGGGCTCCCTAGGGAGGTACAGTGGAGTTGTAACCTCGAAATGTGCACCTTGGATGGCTGCGCTCCCTGTTTCACATAAACGCACAACCCCGGGCCCGAAATCGCAGAGAGACACCCTGTTAGCTGTTTCACACAAAAACACAACCTGTTTCACACAAAAACACAACCACGGACCCAAGACGCACAAGCCATCTGTGATAAGGATGGCTGCAATTGGAATTGCAGGATCCAGCCACTCCGCCCGCCCTGCAAGCACGCGCCATTTTGGCCGCCTTCCAGCCAGTGCAGCCATCCTCCGGGCCGATGGCTGCGATGGCTGTGTCCCGGCCATCCGCCCGGCCGCATGATGGCTGGCATACAGCCGTCGCAGCCATCGGCCGGAGGATGGCTGTCGCGAATTCGACCCCCAGCCTTCTCGCCGCCCCGACACGAGCCCAGGTGGCTACACTCTCCCTGCACAAAAAACGACACTCTTGATCTGGAGACATGGAGTTGTTATATCTAAGACCGCCCTTATCAACACTAGTACAGCACCGTTCAATCGCTAGAATCTTAAGCCCGGGCCTCGCAGTCTTCTAGGTCTG